ATATGATCGAGGAGGCCGTCATCAGCCCCAAATGAAATCCCTTGGATCCCAGCAGAGACCAAAGACCTGTAAACCAGGGAGAATTGCGTTCGAGCAGGAGTGAAACGAGATTCCAAATTCCTGGTTTCGGTGCATGGATGCACGGTGAGCGGCAAGTCTTTGCCACTTGGTGTGTCATGGTGAGACATGGTGAGATTGGCCATTTTAAATGCGCCAAACGCCCACATCTCAGGATATCAAACCTGGGCAAAAGTGCTCAGATTCAATGGGTTGAATCTCACGTCGTCGCTTTTTTCCCCCAAATCCCTCTCAAGGACCTCTTCAGGGCTTCGAAATCCATCGGAAACAGGATCAAGCAGCATATGTGGCGGTCGGCCGGTTGGGCCTCCTTCTAAATCCAATGGACGCAGCGTAAGCATGTAGAGCCCAGCAATCGGCATGCCCCCACCTTGTTCCATAAGCTTCCCAAGAGACTTCCAAAAAGAACTATTTGGTCTTGCCTGGAAATGCATGTCATAGAGGGATCGAATCAGGACCGTCAAGAGCCAAACAGCCTGTGGAACTGAACTTCGACCCTGTTCCCGCCCGCATCTATCCTCAGCTGCCAACTGGCTTCTGGTCTCCTGCGAAATATCGACCAGCACCGTTGCACCCGAGCCACAACAAAAGAGCATAGGCAGAATGATACGCCCATGTCTTTTCAAAAGCATGTTGAATCCTTCCCCAGACCAATCAGTGGTTTCAGGGCTTCAAAGGCACCAGCAAAGTTCGGCAGCAAGCATCATGTTGCGAAGACGAATGCAATCAAAACCAGAACAAGCCATCAGCCGCTAGTCTTCACAAAACATCACCAAATCCCAACTGAGGTTATCTCCCAATGGAGCTATCCCAAGCAATGGGTGAAATACGTATGATCACCGTATGCAGGTTATCCACAGTCTGAGAAACATCCAAATCCTCCTCCTTTGCAACACTCAATCCACCAAAATTTAGGAATCCCTGCTCACCCCTGAGAACAAGCCACCAACCACCCTCCATCGCACTCACCTTCCTCACCCTCACCTTCTCGTGGCGTCTTTTTTCGTCCGCCCTGTCCCGGAGAGGCCCTCCTGTCCCGCCCCGACTGGCCTTTGGAGAGGAAGCCACCCATGCGTTCCCCCAAGCTGGGAGCACTGGGCGCTGGATCCTCTGGTGGACCTGACGACGGACAGTGACGGTGCATGGCTGGGCTTCTGAGAAGCATAGGAAATCAATGGTTGATGGGTAAACACAATACAACAACTGCAGATGTGTCATCCTTCAGTCAAGAATCAGTACCTGTGTCACATATGGTGGGTACCCCAAATTCTTCAACTATGTTCATCACCGATGCTGGGTAAGAGTTGCTGTGTGTATGGAACAATATGGAACAATCCAAAAGCTTGGATTGTTCCATATTCATCCATATCTTCCGCTGGTGCACAAAAGGGGGATGTATGTCGGATGTGGCAACCGCCCTATAGCTATCCCAGGCTCATCAGCCAACTTGTCATCTCCGGGAAGTGTCTCATCTAGAAGGCATCAAACCACGGGAAGAAAACGTTTACAAAATGGCTCTACAAGAACACACAACATGGTGACCTGACGGCACATGCGACATGGAGGGGCTTTGACCTACCAACCGCCGCGCGGTAAGCGCACGATCCGCGAGTGCTGAACGATTCGGAGGTGTGTGCAAATTGCCAATCCGGGACAAAGCTTGTGAACAGGAAGACTCTTCAATTATGGCATGTTGCAGCTACACCTGGACCACAACTCCTTTGCTTGTGGAGACCTTTCGGCATATTGGTACATCCAAGATCTCCATTGATATCAGCCTATTGGTTTTCACACGGCCCAACTCTGGTGTCCAAAGACCTTGGTGAAGCAAGATTTGTCGAACAACTCAAGCCCCGCAAGTCTCACTTTCGCCCGGTTTTCCTACCTCGCCGGATTGCCGGGATTCAAACGGATTCAGGGGAGGAGATCGTGGTTTGGGGATGCCAGCCAGGTGAGAATTCAGATCAGAGTTACACTCCGACTCACTAAGATGGACGTGGAAAAACGCTTGTTTGTAGAGGAAAATGCTCTTACTTCGCTTGGGTCTGACCCCCATCCAGCCTCAGCTGGCCATGACCAGGTCCACTTCGGGTGGTGGGCCTTTTTTGGCCGCTCGACTCCACTGTGCTGTATCCATCAAGCTGAGGGGGAACCCCAAACCAGCGGATGTTCATCCCAATTTACTGGGAGGTCTTGGGGACCCCCGACGCCGACTCATGCACGTGCGACTCAACGTGCGACTCAAAACACGCACGTGCGTGGAGGTGCTCGCGGACGCCCAACATTCTGATGTCAATGATCATGCGTAGCTTGAGCTGCTTTGACTTTGTATCACACATGAGTTTTCACAGGTGTGTGTCCAAGGACTGTCTGCAAGGGAGAAGGTACTTTGATCATGTTCGAGGCGCAGCACACAACTGTTCTCACAGTTTCATACAGTTTCGCGATGTCTCTCGCTCGCCCTCTCTCAGTACTTGCGTGTTGATTACTGATGTCAATGAACAAACATTGTTTTGGATTGAGTTGATGTGACTGTGGATGACACGTGGCTATGTCATACAATGTCTATTGGCTGAATGTTTGGAGTTCGGGTATTCTTCGTGGCATGTGAGGTGTCTGACCTAGGAGCGACTTAAACATCGGCAGCTTGCAGTTCGTGCAAGCAGTGCACTTCCGGAAACGGATGTTGTATGTTGCACGCCTGCACGTCGGCTGCGTATTCCATTCAATAGGGGATGTTGAATCAATAGGACGATAAACATCCGGGAGAAAAAGCCTTAATGTTATACGCTGCAAAACGAGTCGGTGTTTGGAATGTCATGACGAAACGCTCTTTATACTCCCCTCCCACTTGGATCATCAATGGGATCCAACAATTTCGATCAAAACTGGGGGGCATCAGGGCAGTTTCCCAGACTTGCAAAGGACGGCTCCAAAAAGACGTCACAACTTGGACATGTTTGGAACTTTTTGCATGCTCAACTTGCCTAAACCTAGACTTCCACAAAAGCCTACACAATTTAAGGCATTAGGGTCAATTGCGCCTCAGCCTGCGATTTGATCGCAACAAGCAGCCTCCTTCTTCGCCCCTGGCGGAGACAGCCGCTGGGTGTGTACGGATCATATTCTTGGAAAACTTCGAGAGTGAATCTTCAACAGTTTGTTTTGAAGACACATGCCGCATGCCATGCTACCTATATTCCTGCAAGCTTTTCCCTTTAAACATGAGAGAACGATGAGAACGATTGCGAAGCTTCAATCCAACCTCCCCAAGGACACTTCTTTGCTGTCACTCTCCTGGTGAAGCATCCTAAAATAAAATAACATACTATAATTAACTATATATATACACTCTGACTCACTAACATGGCAATGGAAAATTGATGAAAATGGCCTTTAGGACAACTACTTTCTTTTACAAACAGTTGTTTTTCACTTCCATGTTGGTGAGTGGGAGTGTACTTACAACCATCTCTGGTGGAGGATGGCATGGATCAGAGCATGTACACCTTGGGTGGGATGCTGTTGAACCCTCACCCATGCTATACCCTTGTGTGGTAACAAACAAATCTACGAGTGCGGGTCAAACATAAATATCCCACACCAGGAATTTGAGTGCTTGTAGTCATTGCTTGGCTTTTCGCCAGAAGCCACATGATCGTCTCAAAATCACAAAGTCTAAGGTGCCCCACACAAAAACATGATATACACATATCATTTCAGTGAACTTCCCATAGAAGTCCATTTTGTGTTCATCACATCTAGGAGAGAGCTTCTCATCCTGCTGTGCTCCGCTGCCTGTGTCGAGCACGGCTCCGGCGCTGGTGTTGGAATCGGCTGAGGCCGCCTTGGCAGTGCCCAGCTTCTCACAAACGTGGCAAGTGTGGGATGTTTTTTTGAGATAAAATGGTGCAGGGCCTAGCATGGAGCTTTACGCATTCAATGAATTCATGTACACCATCTACTCTCCTACTCTCATACCGGATTGTGCAAAGAATTGACCTGTGCCCATGGCCCATGGGGCACATGATCCATATCTCTATACTATACTGTAGGTCTGTTTGTGTCACTGATCTGCTTTGCTTTGATCATGTCATGGATGCTTTTTACTACCATCCACTTTCACCTTGCAGATTTCAAGTAGCCTCTGTAGCCTCTAGTCTTCAAGCACGCCTGAATCAATGCCCCTCGGTGGCTGACCACGAACGAGAATCCCACTGATTTGGTACCGGTCAAGGACGGGCCAAAACTCACTTGCAACATGTTGCAACAATACTCTCACTATAACAATCCCACTTGTGTTTGTTTGGAGGGTGTCCCTCCTGCAGGCTAGCGGCTAGTGCCAACCTGCTGCAGGAAGCAGCCCAAACAATTTTTGAGGTGATTAATGTCCATGCTCCATCGATCGCTTTTGCCATCAGGCTGCTTCGTGTCCCTGCCCAACAGCTTCCCTTCAGGCAGTATGTTCAGCATGTAGCTGTCAAAAAAGGGTGACTTTGATTTAGCAAAAAAACAGCACCTTGATCACTGAATCACTGAAGGCTTTCATTGGGATGAGATTCGGTGAAACCGCCCCTTGAGGGCAAATCCAGAAAAAACAAAGCCGGTTCAAGACCTCTAATCACATAATCACAGGGTAGCCCCAACCCCTAACAATCTGACATCAAATAAAACAACTATTAAACATATTATAAATATATAATTGATTCATATCTTGGAACGCTACATGACAGCTGTCTATCTAACGTGATCTAACATGATAATAGATGATAATAAATCTGATAATATACTCAAACAAGATCAAACAAGTGTGAAACAAGACAATCAGCTACACGAATGGTCGGGCGATTCTGGAATCCTGCTTTGGGGTCTGCCCTGGATGGCACATCCCACTGGCCATCTCACGAAACGCAAACGGTCTGTCACAAACGGTCTGGCTTCACTCTCCGGCGGTCGGACTTCCATCGACCGGACCAATCCAATGGAGTTAAGAGTTGTTGGCTACTGGTCTTCACCAAGTCCTGGGCGATTTGTTGCAAAGAACATGGCATGGCAAACTAACCTGGATCACATGGGCCAGGCCCCTAGGCGCAACAAGACATCTTAGGAGGTTGCACTGAAAGAAACACTGAAATGAAGAACTACACAGACTGACTGCCCACCAAAGCAAAGCGTCGGGGAGCTTTGGCCGGCTCCTCTTGGCCAAGTCAGGCGTGGAAGCACTTTGCCAAGATTCCTTGCTCCGTTGAAGTTGAGACACATACTCACCAAAATCGCAGTAGGATGCCGTGTCTTGTGGAGCCTCAGCAAGTCTGTGGACCCAATGCTGCCGCCCGCGACGGGGCGCGCAGCATTGGCTACTGTGAAGGAGGGTTCCATCGAAGGAGGTGGAGGAGAAAACTCGTGCCAACACATGTCAACATGCGAGGTCTGAGATCTCTGTGGGAGGTAATTAGAGGACATGATCTTTCCACAACAGGTGCAGAAACAAACCGACTGGAGAACACATGTGCACTGGCATAAACTGGCAAACTGGGGGCTACCACCCAAGCCTTCCATAGCGCAAGGGACGCCAACCTTCAGACCCAATTGTGTGTGACACCGTTCGTGTCCAATGTTTCAAAACTCCCAAATCTGAAAACCAAGCCCAAAGAACCATATCATACTATATCGGTGTATCGGTGAACCAGGGATAACCAGGGAATCCTAGGAAGATTCCTCTAACAACACAGTGCTGCACGGGTCCGTTACGACCGGGCCCAACTCCGCCATGCATGGTCTGGAAGGTACATGGCGATTGATGAAGCTTTTATGAACCTCATAGAAGTCCAAAACACCATGAAAACACTGTCTCTTCTGAGAAAAAATGCACAAACCAACTCCGCATGTTGATCCTCTCTCTTAGGTCCTAACCCGCTTGGGTCACCAGGTCCACCTCTTCGGCCATGTGTCGAAGCGCGCGCATCGCTGGACCGGCGCATCGCTGCTGTGACGCGTGGGCCGCACCGGCGATGCACCTTCATCGCGGTCGGGTCCTCGCGGTCCGGTCGGTTTTTGTTCTGGGAGGATTTGAGTGTCTCAGGATGGAGGCCGCTGGTAGGTTGGAGGCCGCTCTTAGGTTGGAGGCCATTATAGTAAAGCAAGTCACGGCGGGAGGACTGCGTCACGGGCTTCCCACCAAAAGACTTGGGTGCCGTCGTCTCACCGGGCGGCATCCGGGCGTTCGTCTCACCAGTCTTCGACGAACAGTTCGACTCATTCGGTGCGGCGCCTTTGTTCACTTTGAACAAGGACCAGCTTTCCACCGATTCCTCTCCTTGGGAGGCAGAAGAAATCACAAGTGCAACTGCGATGGAATATGATGGAATGTTTGGACAACAATTGGACAGTCCGACAGTCCAGCGATGTGTTTGTTTTCTCGGAAGAAGATCTTTCACATTGTCGACCCCCAGCAAACCGAGATAAGCCCATTGACAGAATCTTATTGAGTGAAATCACCACAATTTGGCGATGCAATACCATGTCTCTGAGATCTTCTTGTGCCCCCGCATCCACCTTCACTGTAGCAAGACCCCCATGGAGTCGGTCCTCCTTGTTTCATGGTCAAACACCCCTGGCGACGACACTCGTCTCCAACTTCCTGAGCCTCCAGCCTTACCGCCCAACAGGGTGAGACTTAAGCATTGAGGGGACCCAAAAACCTTCTTGATGATCTCATATTCTCATCCCCATCAGCCCCTTCAGCGAAGTCTGCCCTGCGAGGCCCCCATTTTTCAGACTCCGAATGTTGGGTCTGAGATCATCCAATCTTAGGGGACCATCGAAATGAACCGATGGCAAGCTCGGAAACAAATCACTGGGTAAAAGGGCTCCTGAACACCCAACCAATCCTTTTCCATCAGGCCTGAATCACGTCGTGCTGAATGGCCAGTGCATCTGGCTAAAGTTAACTGTTAGGCTAAGACCCCAAAAGTTCTTCAGGGATCTTCAGGGACTCCATTCTCCAGCACCTCTTGCACTTAAGAGGATGTCTAGTATCAATGTACATGTTTTTCCGATCCTTCCTCTCCTTGCTCATACCCACCCAAATCTGTGAAGCCTTTTCAGTCTCACCTAGCTCATTCCCCCTCTCAGCGTCCAGCGCCATCGGGCCGGAAGCCGAAGTCCACGTGCCCCGGGCGGCCGCGGCCCACGGAGGAGCTCGGAGCACCCGGTCGCGTGAGGGACTCGGCTTGGACGGGACGGAGCTCTCCACCTGACGGAACGACGTGTCAGGCCGTTTCGAACGCATTTTGTACTGTGTCTCAAAGGGTGTCTTCAGGGAATTGTCCAAAGGAAGGACCCTTTCAATGTGTAGTTCATGTGTATAAGTTTGAATAGCCCTTCCTTGAACGTCATGAAGGAGGTTGGTCCTTTCAATGTCTAGTTCGATGTTGGTTCACGGTAGGCTTGTATGCTTGTTCATGTTCTTTGACAAAAGTGCTTCTGTTTGGTGCTGTACAAAAAATGACTGATAGAAACTCCGAAACGTACTACCCCGAAGAGATGTGGGATCACGAAGGAAGCACATCTATTACACATGTTTCCCATGTTTCCGTTTTTGCAGCCGTGGGGTTGAGGTAGTCCCACACATGTTTCATGGGCCACACCCAGGCCGTGGGATTGTAGTTGAAAGGACATATTGAACCCATGACACAAATACATCTGGTGGCAGATCATGATCGAAGCTCATTTTCAAGCCTTGGTACCCACGCGTAATCACTCCCACACCCCTCCTCATCCGCCCGTGCCCACCGTCCGACTGTGGAGAGCTGTCCCCGGGCAGCAAATTATGGCTCGAGAGGCGTCCATCGCTCGACCACTCCGACTCTCCGCGGACTCCGTCGCCGCGGTCGCCGGTGGAGAGCTGTCCCTTCATCCGCGTGGGAAACAAACCGCTGAAGGGGCCCAGCCCGGTCGGACTGGCCCGGTCGGTGTCCAGTCTTGGGACTGGAGCTTCTACCAAATCCTCTTTGGACTTCACATGTTTGAGCTGGAGCTCCAAGGTGTCTTTGAAGAGTTGTAAACTCTTGGAGACCTCATCCACCTTCACCTTGATCGCTTCTCCCTCGGGCACCTGAATGCTCCCCATGTCCTTGAAAGGCAACACATTGCTTTCGCTTGGCGCCTCAATGCCGGAATGCTCCTGGGTCCGCCGGGAGGCCGCAAGCCGCCCCAGCAACAAGGCCGCTGCACGGAGTTTCTGCGATTTGGACTTCTTCTTCAAGCGACGCAGCTTGGCAGCACCCTCGCCGTCCAGGAAATGGTGGTGGTCAAAACCCTTGGAGGAAGAAGCGGTCTTTTCGGCTAACTTCTTCCGCAACCAGTATGGCTGTTCCTCCTCATCGTCCTCATCATCAGAAGAATCTTCCCAAGGAATCTTCAGCATTCGGTAGAGCTCTCGCAGTTCCATCTTCAGCAGCCGATTTCGCCCGGCTACTTTGACATTTTGAGCCTCCACGATCTTGCACTTTTTCATCAGCTCCACCTGGTACGGGGTATGTGGGAATGCCACCGGCCGAGAGGTATTGGCAGAATCCAACAAATATAACAAATGAGTTAATCAGTTAATCAGGACTATGGCACATATCACTGCATAATATGGAAGTGTGATGCTCCATGAACTCCCCTACTGATAACTACATATAACTACCATGCAGAATTATTGGGCTCATCGGGTAATTCAGGAGTCACTCTAGTGTTGTGCCATATAGTTGATGGCCAACCATGCTTCATTCGAAGATCTGCACGGCAAAGCAAAGATCGCCAATGGAACCTTCAAGACCTAAATCAGGCGGCCACCTGTCCTGCTACGGTCAGCAATAGAGCCTGCTGCTTGCATGAGAAAAGACATTGGAAAAAACTCTACAATAGTCTTCTTATGTCTTCTTCATGCACAATGTCCGAAAAATAGTAACTCAAAAGCCCCCTCTATACATTCTATACCGTCGTCGGAATCGGAAAGAGGCGGAGCTTCCTTCGACCCCGAACCTCGAACGTCACTGGGAAAAAATCAAAAAACACGTCACTCGGCGAAAAGGCTCTGCGAGCCCCTCAGCTCTGCTCCCGCTCCGCGGATTCGCGAACTCGCCGCGGGGTGCGCCTGTTCCTCGCCCAAGAGTCGCAGCTGGGCCACCCGAGGATCCGGCGGCGGAAGGCTTTGGACTTCCTGACCGGACGTTTTCGGCGTTCGGGACTGCCCAAAGAAAGCCCTGTGAATAAGTTCCCAGACTTTCCCGAGGGAGCAGATTCAGCGTAGAAAGCTATTAAACTTCGATCTCCAAAGCGAGATTCAAAGGTCCAATACACACAGGCGACATGTCGTTCAATCGAAGGACTGACCATCAAGCGGAGTTCCGAAACGTCCTGGACCAGTTCTTTTACCTCTGCTTGCTCTTCTTGCACCTTCTGCTCTTGCTCCTGCACCGGAGACCCAGCCCATCGTTGGATCTGAGTTTGAGAAACCTACAAAATCTGGAGAAGACATGAATCATCAATATCGACAGTGTCGCTACTAGCGACTACTAGTGTCACTGCATGCTACTACTTACCACAACCCAAACATCTACCTCACACTCCGAGCACGAAATAGACCGATGATACAGTACTCAGTACATATATATATATATTATATATGTTCGGGCAAAATAGAGCACCTTCTAAACCACTCTCAGAGAAACACCAAGATATAAGAATTCCCCGATCAATCCTATGGAGTGACCATGCACAAAAAGTAGAACAGTCGAACAGTCTGTTTCCTTAGTGATCGGAACTTGCTTCAATCTATTTGAGGACTTCATGGTAACAACGCTGCTGCGCCCTTCGGGCGCAGGTTTACAGTGAACCGTTCCTGCCATTTGGGTGCGTGGATTCACTGATGTTGAATTCAATACCCCCAGAACACATTATTGGCTCTTTTTCCTCCTTCTTGCGCCCGTGTCTCTACTTCAGCCCTTCCGGCCCTTCCACGGTTCAGAGACAACAGCTCCTGAACTTGCACTTGCAGCGTCTGAGCCTTTTGCTGATTCTGCTCCGTCTGCTTGGTCAGCTTCACAGCCTCTTGCTCCAGCTTCTCAGCTTCTTTGCTCTGCTGCAGCAAATCCTGGAGGTGTCTGGGTGGTGGGAGGCTTCCCCCGGCTTCCTACATCCACATCGACAGGTCGAACAGGTTTCTTTGAGACCGGTCTCGACAGGTCGTACTGCTTTCTAGAAGTGGCTTGGGGTTGTATTGCACGGCCCAGTTACAGCAGTGGATATCCTCACTTTCGTTGGCTCCCTCACTGAAATCTGTAAATGGAGTGGCTTGTTGCCGTGTGGACGCAAAGCAAATCGATCCGACAGATCCATTTTTGCCAAACAGCTCATGTCGTGCTTTTTTGTCGTCAAGCATGACTGGGTCACGATCCCTGTGACACGTCTGACACGCCCCGTCAGGATTCCTTCATTGAACCTAACAACATGTTGCCTCAGAGGCCGCAGTAGAATCGATTGCCAGACCAGCCTTCCGTCTCCCAACCAGGATTACCTTTCAATCCGCTGCTCTTTCACCTTGAGGCTTTCTGGAACACTTCTTCCATCAACTTCCAACACATCCCATCCACGAGCCCCGAAAAAAACCCACGCCCCAGGCTCCTCATCGATCTCCTCCTCGGTTTGGTCTTCAGCCTTCTGCAGTGACGGCTCCAGTTCCTGCCCGAAACCGCAGGATCGGACTGAACGAGATGTTTCTTTCTTGTGTCTTGCTATACCAGTAGCGAGGCACTTGCTACGTTCGTAGCTTCTTGTTACTAGTAAATGCACTTGTTACTAGTAGCGATGCATTGTAGGATGCAGCTAGCAAGTTACTTGGTTAAATAAGACATGAAGTCAACAAATACATAGTATCCACGGAAGATTCGGCGTTGGGATAGGTGTGGGATCTTAACGGGATTGGACTAGGGATCGGCTCAACCGCCGCTTAGACAGCATTGGTAATTAATAGTCGTAATTGGACTAATTATTTCTTCGTTCGTAGCCGCTATCTGTTTTCATCCGTTTTCTTATTAGATGTGCATCATGCTGCACACAAAACGTGCGAACCATTGCGAATCATCTTGAATCTGAACCACGGCAAACAAGGAACATCCGTGAGCGTCCGACAGGTCTCACTGCAAGGAACGAAATGTTGGGCTTCCACGTGTTTCTGTGAAATCTTGATTTTAATTAAACACACTTTGACAGCCAAGGCACCAAACATGAACGTACTGCAATCAGTCGTCTGGGGGCTGAGATGCGAAACAAAGAGAACCAACACGCACGTGCGACACAGAGTCACCTAAGTACAGCAACTCAAGAGCCCAAACAAACCGATCCGATCCGGCTTAGAAAATAATAGCCAAGTACTCCAAACTGATCAGATTCTGGTGCCCAAAAGCACCTCCGGAGCCTCCAACCATGGAGTCTGGGTAAACCCAACTTCAAACACTGCACCTTCAAAGATCCAAGATAGCCTCTTTGGCGCTGAGGCTTCAGAAGTGGATGACTGGAAAATGAATTCTAGTTCCAGTTTCTCATGTCCCTTCGGATCTCTTCGGCTTCGATTCAGTTCAGCACCTTCAGGGACTCCTGCGCTGAAGCGACCTTCTTCTCCCATCTCTGCAGCAACTCCTGGGAGGTTTCACTGGCCAACTCGCTTCATCCAAAAATGGGTTGAGAAATGAGCAATGGCCAACTGACCGGAGGGCCTCCGGTCGAAATCTACTCAACCAACATCAACCAACCAATATAAATGGCCATCTATACGCCGACCTTGATCTTCGCTTTGGAGGTGCCCTCCGCTTCTTGCTCTTTCTTTGCCTTTTCCGTCTTCAGCTTGGAGATCTTGGCCTCGGCACGCGCGCCCACGGGACATCTCTGCAGCGATGCGCCCACGGGCGAACTCCGGAAGGGCGTTTCGTTCGAGGAGGTGGCAGTGGCATTGGTTTCAGAGTAGATAGATGGCAGTGGCACCTCAAGATGTTTTGAACAAATGGAGCTCCATATAAGCCACCTTTTTAGGGCTTGTGCCATCTACTCTCAACCCACTATCACTATTGAAATGGCAGTTCGACGCTCGTTTTGGTGCCAGGGCAACCATGAACCCCACTCTTCACCAGGACTGAGGACTGGCTGCACCTGAGCATATGTCCACACGTATCCACAGAAAAACACAGCTCCAATTATTCTGTGTGTCTCAAAACGGTAAAGCCCCCGATTAACTGGAATATACATACATGTAAATATAGGTGGAACAAGTGGGGCCAATGTATTTTTAACGTGTTCTACACATCACATAAAGGGTTTCGCGACTGTACTGTACATCCTATCAGCTGACAAATAGTCAAAGTTGCATCCCGTACGTGCGACTTCTTCAACTTCTTCAGCTGAGCTTTCGATGGAGCCTGTCCTTTCAGAGCTATAAACTTTCGAATCTCTTCTTCTTCGTCCCAATCCTAGGCACTTCGTTGATCTCGTTTCTTGCGCAACGGAATTTCCCAAATACCTATCCTATAGGTGCCTATCTAGGTGCCTAAGTTTGCAAGTTGATGACCGTCCTGCCCACGTTTTAGATGATCCTACAAGGTCCTACAAAAAAAATTACGCATGAAACAGCTCCTCAAAAGATCAAGCATCTGCAGAGGATGTGGCACTCTCATCGTCGGAGTCGTGCTCTTCCTCTTCCTCTTCTTCCTCCTCCTCTTCCTCAGGTACCTCAAACAACAGCAAAACACACTCTCCAGCACAAACATACAAGGTTGTTGAAAGCTCTATGTATGTATATATATATATAGTCAGTTGCACTTGGGGTTTGCTGCTTTTTTGAGAGCAAAATTCAAACTGAGTTCACTGGACCAGCTCATTCGGTCTGAAAACAAGCTGATCTGCCCCCAAAATCCATTCCTTCCGTACAATCACTGCAGTCGATTTCCGCCTAATTATTTAATGTCCAATTTCCACAGCCCAAAAATGCTTGGCCACCAAAAGCGCCTGAACAGGCTGCGAATCCATGCGTCTTCCCACCAACAAACGCACAAGTTCCCGGTACTACGTAGTATTCCCGCCTCTGAGTCGGAATCTGCTGGCACATCTGGAACTTCTGCCTCTAGTCTGGTCTTGGCCTGCTCGTGGCGCTCATTGAAGCTGCTGATCTGCTGCAACTGTCTCGCAATCTCCTCCTGGACCCAATCAAAACGTGCCTGGCCGCACGGCGCGGTTGGGAAGGATGACCCGGGTGACCGGCGTGAAAAGGGGTGCTTTTTTTTTTGTTCGATTGTTGCGGGACACTATCGCCAAGCACTCCTTGTATGACATATATTACATATACCTGTAATTAATATATACATAGGTGTGGTTTCATAATCAATTGTAAGGTCTATATCTATATTCTACATAATTTTTATATATCCATGAAGCTTCTGGGATTTATTGCTGACCAAAAAGGGGAACTGCATCTTCACGTCTGCTACTGACATCCACATTTCGTGTGTGCAGGTTGCGTTGTAGTCTTCCATTTCGATCTCCAGTTCTTCGACGACGGGCTGTATGTCATCCATCTGATCCCAAAGGCCCCGGGTGATGGCATTTTCCACCGTCCTTCGGGTCTTGGGATTCGGGATGCCATCCTTGGTGGAGTCCACGTGGAAAAACGAAGGAAGGTCGGAGGGGCCAAACACCGGTCAGATCCGGGAGGGAAGCAGCTGGGTTTGGTCGACAAAAACACACCAAGAAAAAGTCCTGGGTCAAACATCTGGCACATTTGAACATATTTGAACCCCCTTATATTGTATCCCCTTATAAGTGGGTTTAGAATGTTGTCATAGAGACCACACATGTTTGACCCATGGTGTGGCAAATCCAAGCATCCATCAGGATGGACCCAATCCTCGGCAAATGAGCACACAGGAAGCCCAGTTCCGACCCTCCGTTGGGTAAAGAAACAACATATACAGAATTGAACGTTACGGAGCTATAAGAAGTTGATTTGACAATCAGTTCCCTTGATTAGGCTTTGATCGAGAATGACCTACTCTGATGGTGGAACTGCAGCATGTCTCTGAAATCCAGGAATCTCTGCTGTGGTCATAAACTTCAGGGCATAGGCCAATAAGTTTCGCCAGTTCTTTCCACCCAGTAAATCCTCAGAGAACAGGTGGTGAGTCTGAAAGGTGTATCCAAATTTATAGAACATGGGCACCCAACAAAGGGCTTTGTTCGCTTCTTTTCCTGAGGTGGTTTCAATTCAAGATACTACTCATTTGAACACAAACTGACCAATGAGCCGATGAGTATATCCATCCATCTGAATCACCAATCCGCTCTCAAAGTTGGTCAATCTTTTCGCCTATCTCTGATATGTGTGTGGTGCATGACACCAAGGATCCATGGTCGAACACGTGCTGGTCCAACGGCCAACATGTTGGTTCCCAATTCCCCCCAAAAATCATTTGACAAGAACACATGAATGACTGTACAGTATCAGTATGACAAAGAAACACTGGCCCCCCTCACTCTACTGGGGCATCGCAAAACATCTGTTGAACGACAGCATCATTCCCTCCTCCCAAAAGCACAAACCCAAAGACAAAAAACGGTGCCCCATGTCACAATTGTAAGTACGTCCCCGAAAGCTGCTGCGCAAACTTATGCAAAAGGCAAATAATAAGGAATATAGTGGTCCCTAAATAGATAGAAACCGTGTCCAATACATCATCATATATAGTGAGGAGCTATACAGCTATACTTTGCTATTTTGTGGGGGGTCTATATATATATATATATATATATCACCCAAAGGTTTCTTCTCAAGTCTTGAATGTTTGCTTACACAACCATACAGCCTGAGCTTGAAAAGCACACCCTGAATTGGCGCTGTGGTCCACATGTGCTTGTGAAAAAGTAGGATGTCCCCTATCGTGCTCTGAGAAGCGTGTTCGGCAAGCCACATACTAGTACAGTATGTGTACTCCTTCCATCATCCTATTGTATTTAAAAAGCACGTTGACCCCATCTCACATCGTGAATTTTTGAGTTGTTGTCCATGTGCTATAAGAATCATCCCAACTCAGCCTGTTCATCAACAAACCCGCAACAAACCCGCAACGTTCCCCAAGCTCAGCCTGGCCGCAAGGCGTTCCTGAAGTTCATGCATCTCTTCAAGCAAATGCTTCAGGAAAACATCGCTAGCACGTCTCAAGCACTCCAAAGTGTGATCATCGAAGTACAGTTCAGGCACCTGGCCCCGGTCGGACCGGTCTGCCATGGCCAGGGGGTCTGCGGGCGTTCGTGTGGTTCGTGTGAAGGCCACGAAGGCATCATGCGAGACTCATGAATCATTTGGTGGGTCAACATCCAGCAATCAGGCCAAGCAGCTGCTGGATCAATTGCCCATCGTTTTGTTGTGCATGTTGACATCTACTATCATTGTTTGCCATGCATTGGAAGCTTTTTGGGTGGGGTGATGCATGATCGATCTGGCCTGTGAAGTTCTGTCCTTTTCAAGCAAAAGGTCGTGTCAGCATTTTACGAAGTCTTACAAATCCCAAAGCAAATGATGGCCCCGCAGGCTGAACCAACGGTTAACAGATTGTTAAAAATACGTCGCAAATGAATTTCTCCACACCATCCCGGGGCACGAAGAAATGGATTTGACACGGCTCGTTGACAAAGCTGGCAGCCGCTTCCCCGAGCAGCTCTTCCACTGCCCGGGTCAGGCGCTCCACGAGCCCACGCAGCTTCCAAAGGTCGATGAGAAAAGCTAAGCGTGCCTGCTCCAAGCGTTTCTTGGCCTTCCTGGGACGGAAAAAAACGACACCCCTCGGTCATGACCTGCAATACAAATGACCCCGGTACAGTACCACCAGAAATGGCAATCAGTGCTGTGAAAGCTTTGGTGTTACTCAGTGACAAACAGCTAAGGGAATCCAAGCAAGCTGATGGTATCGCGGTATGGCTGTTTCCAATCAGAACACCTTTGCAAACATGCACATATAGTAATTAGCGGCGGTGTCCTGGAACACATGCTGAATATTCAGTCTTCACTGTAAATGATGTAAATGTACATGTGACGAGGAAAGCCATGACAAACATAGGAACTGGAGTCCATTCATCTCTAAAACACCGTGACCATTGGCAAAAGACGTATTACGACGAAGTTGCGATGCACGGCCATAGTGTTCGCCGACTTTCTTCAGTGTGAATTGATCTCTCCCTCTCTCTCTACATATATTCAATATAGCACTGCTCACTTTTGACACACAGTGGACAACAAATGATGAACCACTCCAAATTCACCCTTCAGTCCAACATTAAAGCATGCCAAAGCTCCTGAAGCGCGCCTGACGCGCTGCATGTGACTCAGACACCAGATTCACCAGGTCTGCGCTGATGAGAAATCGCATCTCATTATGCTTGCGAGACCAGGAGTCAGGATCCAAAAACACCTCCTTGTTGGACAGCTTTTGTGACGCCGGATCCAGGAAGGTAATTTCCACTGTGCCAACCTCGTGTGTTTCACGAAAACCCGCCGGTTCAACGTGTGAAAACCTGTTTTGGTCGTTGGGTTGAGAATGGTTGAGACGATAACTTCCACAAAAGAGGCACAGCAACTGCAACGTTTGGCTTTCTGGTTTGCCATTATGTTTCATCCTCAGCGTCGGTCCCAAACCGTTTGGCCAACGTGAACCGATTTGTCGGCAAGGTTCCTTGGTTTGATCTTCTTCCCGCTTGGTTGGGCTGAAGGAGGCATATTTCGACTTGGTCGAAGCAGGGGGAGAGATCTCTTCCATGCGCTCAGCGGTCCATACGCCGGGCCTATTGGCCCGGCAAAACTCGCCAGCGGAGTGGTCCAAGCGGCTTCTCGGAGTGGTCCAAGGAACTCTGTTCCACTGGATTTGTCAGTCCTTTTTGGTGGTTGGATGTTTATCTTTTTTCAGTTAAGGTGAAACTACCTTGGGACTGACCACCTATATAACGATCTAAATGTTCGTGGGATGTGACTTGTTTGGGGGAAGGATTTCGCTCCCAAACGTCCACTGACATGGAGTTCGATCGGAGGATGTTCTCCGCTCGGGATGGCTTGAGTTGTTCAAGGGTCGTTTGATCTACAGGTTGAGTATATGGAGCATTTTGGGATTGATCATGAGACAGCGTCCTCCCACCTTTTTTTGGAGGGCAACTATACAGTAACATACAGTAACTGAATATAAATACATGGCATCCAGTCATATATTGAACCAATCTCTCATTTTTGTTTCAAACACTCTAATGACCCTAATGAGCCAAAACGACATCGAGGACCGCTCAAACTCAGCACATATATATATATATATTACAAGTATCACGCTCTTGCGGACGAGTCGGCAAAAATAGGCCATCCAAAATCTTCGTACAAACCGAAAAAAACAAGAAATATATTATATATAATAACCATCTGCACTGGGCGGGCCAAAGATCAACTGAACATGATCCTCTTGCGGACGTAGACCCTGCTCAAGTCAGTTTCTCTGCACATAAAGAAATCATAAAGATGTATATACATCACCTGAACATTATTTACGCTGCTGACAAAAGGCTTGAGTATATCAAACATTGTAAAACTCCAAAACAAAAACTTGACTTGATTCAAATCCTTCCAATCATTCCGCATCCTCAACTTCTCTGTCTCCCTTCGAAACGGCCGTGCCGTCGTCCACCCGTGACCACTGGGTCCGTTTCAGGCTCCAACTGCGAAGCCAGCCTCCGCCTCCGGTCAATGTTGGAACCCTTGTCGGAACGACCAAGGGGCCGTGCATGGTCCAGGTCGTTAAGCAATCAACAAGGTTAAACACTCTTGTTACTAGTAGCTTCTTGCTAGTAGCTTCTTGTTACTAGTAGTATGGTGCCTTGTTACTAGTAGCCTAGTAGCTTCCTGCTACTACGTTAATAACACATGAACAGCCCTTTTACAACTACAATCTGGACTAAGCAAGATTGGTTTCAAGGCACCCTCTAAGCTAGTGGTTGTCCTGTCCAGAATTCATTCCGATAAACTTAACGATGGACGACGACTGTCGTTTTGGGACCACACCTCTGTCCTGTTGCCGACGAACATCTGTGCTTCTTCGGCGGGCCTCTGTGGCAGGCCGACCGTTCACGAAGAAATGCTTGTCCATCATGGTCTCCCCGCTTGCCACTGGGCCTTGGACGACTCAATGGATGCTTCGCTTCCGCGCCCAATCACTTCGCTTGGAAGGCCGATCACTTCGAGTAGAAGGCAGATTGGCGGCTTCATATGTTGCTTGCCGGATTCGGTCCGCCCAAGAAAAAAGGATCATCTGCCATTCACTGAAGTCGCAGGATGCAGTTGATGGGATCAATTGAAGATCTATAAGTCTATAAGTCTCTCGATGCCTTTAGGCCTATCATGGCCTATCACATCCTATCAACAATTTTAAAAACTAGCTTGAGGCTATCTGAGTCTGATTTTCATCATGGTCTCCCGGATCCGCTCAACTTCCCGTTTCCCATGGCCTGTGGTTGCCCTTTCGCAGCAGCGGGGTACGCCTCTACCTTCTACTGACTTTTACCCTTTGCGAATTGAGGGCAGGTCGAAGCTGCCCTTGATGCTGTGAGAGGAGAGCAACACCACATCAGCGAGAGCAACGGAAAGGGAACGTGTCTTATATTGCATCCAATCACTTCCTATCAAGAAACTACAGCAAAGACCTGTTTCGTGCGTAATACATTAGGAGTCAATCCTCATCAGCAATTCTCTGGTTTACCTTTCCTCTCCTTTCCACAAAAACAGAGTCAATCTGAGCCAGCAAATCCATCTGACCAGCAAGAGCCATCTCCACCCTTTTTTAAATCCATCGTCCTGTCTTCTCTTGCCAGGAACATGGGGAAATCTGGCACCATGTCACACCCTATGTCATTGCGCTTCATTCGCACAAGTTTGTTGTGGGGTCAAATATGGTCAAATTCACGGGCGCCTGTGTTTGGCCTCCCTTGCGTTTTGTGCCAACAAAAAGGATGGGATCCTAAGTTTCCTGCATACTGGGAGAGTGTTTCACACTGCCCTTCAGGTCTTGACCCCATATGACCCCATGACAATGGAAAAAGATGGACCCCACCGTGGAAATTCCTTCAGCAAGATTGTAGCTCATGAAACTTGCACGGGAGGGTTCTAGACGCTGGCTTTGATCCGGAGGATCCCAGGGGATATCAACTACTCAATCGGCGTGTATTTTGATAGACTGGTCTATGTTCCTTCCAGCGGGTCGAGCTAGGAGGTCTCTACTTCACTTCATACACAAACCATTGGGATGTGGTGCAGTGCGGTTTATGGTGATGCATCATCTGAATCATGCATCTACACTCCCCAAATCAAACGTACCCCTAGCAGCAGTGAGGACCCAAACTAACATATCCCAAACCTCTCCGGTGTTTCCTGGGGAATTGCATGTATATAACTTTCGCTTTGCGGTAGCTTCAAGAAAAGGTCCAAAAACACTGCTAACCTGGCCTGGGGCAACCATGAATATTGCAATTTTGGTCAACCACATGACCATTTTAGGGGGCTATGTTAGTCCTTGCGACTAGGAATTGTGCCATTCCAGAAGAATCAATGCAACTGTTGGAGGGCTATGTGAGTCTTTGCACGCGCCGAAACAGAGTATCAGGGCCACCCCCAAATGAATACAGTGAATGAGACTCATGATAGCCATGCTCCTGGTGCATGTGAACAGGTGTTGGAGGATTTGCACACATGTTCCCCTGCAGACTGTTGCTAACATGTCCTCCTCACCGATACCACGTTCAGGGCATGGGTCATGGAACCTTTTTTCCATGCGTCTCCTAGTTGCTAACATATCCTCGTCCCAGTTCAGAGTCATGAAACTTGTCAATGTCCCCCACATCCACTAACACTTTTTGGAATACTTATCCCTGCAGAATCTTGCTCACATATCCTCCTCACAAACACCACTTGTGCCCTTTCAGCATCTGTCGACTAACGTTGCCAAAAAAAACATAAAATCCACTTTAGGGGGTTACGTTTGATTTGGGGAGAGTACTTCTCTTCTTGCACAGGTCTCTGCCGTTTCATCCTACAGGGACCAAAGCCAGCTCTGTCAACAGCTCATGCCTGCTGACGCAGCTTCTGCAGCGGACTTCTCCTGCTGAACAGTTGTGCAACATAGCTGGAAGTAAATAGCCTCGCACCGCGGATCAGGTCCCCAAATAGACCAAGACAGCGTCGAATCAACTTCTACAGAGGCTCTATACTCCTATTATCATCCCCTATACTTCATTTAAAGTGCATGATAACATTTATAATCCCCTATACTTATCATCTCCTATAATTTATTTTATTAAATGGTGTTCAACGTCTCGCATTCGGTCGCACTCTTCGCTGCAGGACAGGGCACGCTTCGGTCTGGGGCGAGTCGACGGACGGACGGAACGCTCGGACCCAGCGTCTCCGTGTGGGAAGAACACCAGGGACGCTGGTATCTTCAAATGGAAAGAGTTCAAATGCCCTCGTATCAACACTTGGTGTAGCTATAAATACCCTGGCCCGTATTTTTTGTTCTCTCCCGACGCCTGAAAGCCAAAAAGAACCTCGCCCGACGCAAACGAGTGAAGAGATACAGCAGCGCCTGGTATTTGCTTTCTCACATGCCTAGGGATGAAAAAGAGATAAGAGGAGTCACCACAGGATTGGCTGATGTGCAGAATCTGCCAGAAACGACAGAACAAAACTCAATGGAACTCTCAGAAACACAAAGCAGTCAGCTACCTTTGTTGGATTATTCCTGGTGAGGATGTGAGTCAAGCCAATTCGGCGTAATTATGCATAAGCAAGCCAAATCCGTGCAAGATCCCTCTGGCAAGAGGCCAACTACGAGTGCAACATCTCCAAGTCTTTGAAACTCTTGATCCTCGTCCTTTCATGTCCATCCCCCCCCCGATCCCTCCAGTGAAAGCAAAGCCTTTTGCGTCAGCGACTGGGCCCCGTCACGGGTGTACGGTGCGTTCGACTCACCGCCTTGGACGGAACCCGGCGGGGCCCTGGCACCACATGTGTCCGGAGGGGACGAGTGGGAGAAGCAGTGGTGGTTTGGATAACCGGTGGATTGGTTTTGCCAGCAAGAAGCCCCACAATGCAAGCCCACAATGCATGACATCTAGAGTATACGTATGTATACGTAGTATTGTGACCATGCCTGAGCCAAAGACCAGGAGGAGGGCGCAGAACGGTTGCATATGGTTACGATGATTTGAGGTGTACCAGTTAATTGACAATGTTCACATATATAGTTTAATTGAATGGTTTCAACATTTCAACTGGTTTGTTACTATGGTTAATTGAAGTGAAAACCATTTATATAGAACCCTTTGTCTTGTTTGACTTCACGCTCAAGTCAAGAGCTCGGCGAGCTGATTGTGGCAAATTCCGAGAAGCTGAGCATAAACTACATTAAACAACTCACTTCCTGAGCTTGTTGCTATCCAGGAATCATGTTGAGATCGCGAAAAACAACTTCAACATACTTCAACCAATTCACCGCTGTCTACGGGTGGACACAGGTGGCCCGCGCCGATGTGTTCGGACATCTTCTTAGGCAACCTTGGAAGGCTCGGCTCGGTGACGTGATAGAACAAGAAAGCTCCTCTGGCAAATGATCCTTCAAAATGAGATATAATAAGTGAAACCATCCAAAAGTCATCAAGACATATAGATCCTACAGTTGCCTGAGTTTCTTTTTTCAGCCGTCCATCTAATCTACGAAACAATTGGCTGGCACTCAACCGTTCAATACCTTCTACGCAGGCACATAGGCATCGTATGCTGAAACGAGGGCTGCCCAGCAGAACAAAGTGACTAAGTCACTAAGTTGTGCCATCTATAGATAGTGAGAAGGGTACGAATGCTGCATGCTACCTTGCTGAGTCTTCGGGCTCTGTGAATGCTTTCCAGTTCTGCAGGTTGCTGCCACTGCCCTTGGTGGCTTTCCTGGCTGCCAGGAAGACCGGAAAACAAGTTTGGGATAATTTCTCAAAAGCACCCTCAACATCCTGCAGTCACCTTGGACCCATTCCCAACCTGCAGCAAACAGCAAAATGCCCAAAACAGGAGATTTGGTGGTGACCAGGCGACAGAAAAGTCCGGTTCTGGGATCTTGTGGGCCCAAAAAGTCGGAGAAAACACCCAGGACCTACGAGAAAAACTGAGAGGATCTCATGGGCATGGGACTGGCGTCCGTTCGTTCTTGGCGAAGAAAAACCCGCCTGTTGGCCACGGGATTCGATGGGCCTGGAGGTTACGGTGGACTGGATGGGCCTGGTGTTTCTGATCGTTTTTGGATCAGGAAAGAAGGGTTGGTGGATGGTGGAAGGATGAAACGAGGGTCATGAGAGAAAATCTCTGTCACTGTAGATTTCGAAGGGTTAGGCTGTTTGTGTTTGTGTTTGGCTGTCTTTTTTTCAAGCTCTCTGAACATGTCTGGCAGTGCTCGCTTTTTGGACACTGTGATGAACGAAAGGGTTAGCCTGCCTTGGCATTTGCATTCGTTTTGAGCTGCCAATCCACTTAGTTCCTTCACACATCCCTCCGCTTGGCCTGATGAACTAGCTCTGTGAGGTAGCTATTTGATGAGCGGAAAAAAAAGCTTCCCACCTTTTGTAGTGTTCAATTCAGGGACTTGTAAATATGCCAGCATCCTCCAACAGGTCTCTAGAGGCTTGTTGGGCGCTAACAGGTCGCAATTGGTGACCTGGGTAGCTATTTCTCTTCTAAATTGACTGTCTCTGATCATTGCCACTATCCTCAAACGATGCCATCTGCCAGACGGGTTGTAGGCGAACTGGCTGTGTTGGATGACTTCCCTTCGCGATCGCTGTCTCGCTTCACCCGACGAAAACGAATGCTGGTGCGCTCGTTCTGGGGAAAGCGCTCGCGCTCGGCGTCGCGGACTCCCCGACCGAGTCTGGGCACCTTCTTCAACATCTTCCTCATCCCAATCGGTCCTCGGCTTGGCACGTCCGGATGCGCAGGATCTGGACCGAGCCGGATGGCCGCAGTCCGTTTCGAAGCGGCGGCCGGTGGCTTCTGGAATTGGGGCGGCAGTGAGAGTTTGCCAAAACTGACCCAAACACTGCCCGCCCTGGTGCAGCCGCATTCGCAGGGGCTGGTTAAACTAGGGAGGGGTAGTGTTGGGGAGTGCATGGACTGGTTGATTGTCTGGTGTTAGAGTCATGGGGGGCCGAACATCTCAGAATCCATTTTGGCACATCCACTCGCATACAACTTCACTAACCCATTGCGACGTTGGATCTTGTCTCTCCACTGGTATAAAATGTATAAAGCACCGTCCAAGATATCAATGCGCACCAACTGAGTAATCACCATGCATGCATCCGGCTGTGCACTTCCCGAAACCATCATGGACGTGGAACGTGACCCGTTGGATGACCAGTTTCCTCTACAACACAACGCACGGCTCCCGACCGCCCCACAAGGCACAACAGCCGCTGGGACGAACTCCGGGCACCGTGGCGGGAATTGACACTCTATACACAAACCAGTTTAGACCAGTTTCCTCTACAAACAGGGTGGTTTTTGATGGTTTTTGTTCACTTCCCATGGTGAATGACTCGGCGTGTGTCTGTTTATCCCTTGGAGGCTCCACTGAAGCGACATGTCTACTTTGTTCTTCAATCCCGCTCTCCTCCAATCCTCGTTGGCCAACGTGACCGTTTGGCTCCTGTCCTTGAAGAGGGCGTCCCTTCTCTCTGATCAACTGGTCTCTCATGTTATGGGAGACCGCCAACCAATGGATCAGCTGTCACTGTCCCCTTGACCAAGACAAAGCCTCTTTCGGAGACCAAAAGCATTGGTTTTTTTTGTGATGTCTTTTGTTGCCCCGTCCGCACACACTCCCTGTTCCGCTTCGCGGTAATTCCCTTGACAGAAGCTGCGCTCCAAGACACTTGGCACAATCAGACATCGACCGCCGGAACCTCTGCGGTCGAGAGACCAAACACATCGGGCAAACGCACGGGGCAAAGCAATGGTTTAGATACCTTCCCACCGCTTATAGCAGCATCAATGAAGATATTTGTGAACATGGGGCATGCTTCAACTCTTCCTTCCTTGGAGTATGACGCCTGGGTTCGCTGGTGGTTCCCTATTTTGAGAATTCCTGCGTATTGGATCGCTCTGCACGGTCTCGGAAAGTTGTTTTCCAAGGGGAGCAAGAGTTCTGAAAAGATTGGAAGTCAAGGTGTCCAAAGCTACTTGAACCGGGCTGTCGAGTCTATGTAAGGGATCGACTTCTAATTCTAGCAACAAAAATGCTCATGTGGATTATTATTATAGTTAGCCAGGTAGCCACCGTGAATGTTGAGTATGATGTTAGCCACCGTGAAGTCCATTGGTGCTCATTGACTTTTCAAGGACTGAAACTATGATCACGTCTTTCAAACAAACCTTCTGAAAGCACCGGCTTTTGCCTCAGACTGTCAGACTGCAGTCAAACCACTGGCGCCAAAAGGATGGCAACTGGAACTTCGAAGCTTTCCTTATTTGCCGGCCATCAGCGGCCGTCTCTGGTATATATATATATATATGCATCAGCAATCATCAGCAACTATAAATGACCTACCATTTACACTAGTCACCCCGAATGCCCGCTTCAGGCAGGGAACGAAGGGCAGGGTTGTTGTCGTCACTGCATCTCTCACTTCGAAAAGCCGAAACCATGCAAAATGGAACGGACCATAACGGACCTCAAAACGTCTGTCCCCCAACAGGCTGCGTGAAGCACCGGCCTATTTTCAAAGCGCCGTCCGACTTTGATATTCGGCATCAGATTGCGCGCCCTGCGCGATTGAGCCAATGTTAACGAACATCCGGAGGCCGCGGTGGGGGCTTCAGGAACCTTGCCGGACCTCCGATGAGCCAATAAAATGGAAGTCCTTGTCACAAACATTGAAAAACATCTTCGAACACACATTTAACTATCCGGATGCAATAATTAAGTCCTGTAAACACCTTAATGAATGCAAGGGACACTTGTGTCAACATGGAAAAGTGAATACCTTGAAGGCCTAGCCGTGCAAAGAATCACCAGAGCTTGTCACCAAAATAGAGACAGTGGCTCTTCCGAAGCAAACGAACATGCCATACGACGATGACAATTGCAACAACTTCAGCCTGACCATGCGAATAATGTGAAGGGAACTGGTGAAAGCAAGTTATAAAATTGTGAGCTGGAAAACAACAACAATCAATCCAAACACTTGTCAACAAAAAATAGCAGTATTTAAAGCAAGTACTTAAATAGCAAGTCCTAAAAACAAGCATTTAATACATAGATGGCCCTCCTTTTACGTCTCCGTTCACACCCCACCCGCCAAACCTTCGCGCTGGAGAGGAATCTTCGCCCTGGACGGGCGCGTGGCGTTGAAGCTCCTTGTCCTGGCGCCAGGAGGGCGAGGGCGGTCCGCACCCGAATCATCCGAAACGTTTGGAAGGTAGTGACAAAGTCATATTATCTACTATATATATATATACGCACATGTACAAGTTACATTGTTGTGTGCAAATGAAATGTTTCTATATTATTTACATATTATATACATATACATATTACGTATTTATATACAGTATTAAGTTACATTTAAAAGAACTATGCAATGTAATGTGTATATATAGTACATGTAATATATATCAGTCAAACATGTCAATGATAAAGTTGATGTCCCGAAGCAATGCTCTGGGCATGCTCTGGCCGTCAGTATCCCCTTGGTCTCTGGTTTTCCACGGCTGAGGAGTGCATTGGACCTTTGAAACGCTTTGTCGCCCCACAATCCAGGCGTTCAAAAAACCCCTGCAGTTTACACATCTGGCGGAGTGCCTCGGGACTTTGAAGCAGTGCAACTTCAATGCTGCCCAAACATGTTTACATTGCGAAATCTGTGGGACTCTCTCCCAGAAATCCCAAAGTTGAACCTTCTCATCTGTGCAGCGCTGCTCTTTTGGGAACACATATGGAGACATGACGTATACGGTAAATTAGCTCGGGATATATAATGGAGGATCAAACATGTCCACAGCTCATCCATCTTTTGCAGCAAACATGTTTGGAAAGAGTTATCCCAAAAGGTCGCACGCAGAGTTAGTAACAAGTGCATCGCTAGTAGTAACAAGTGCCTTACTAGTAGTAACAAGAAGCTACTAGGAACAAGTGCCACGCTACTAGGAGCAAGAAGCTACTAGGGGCTGGCAAAAAGTGTCTCTCGGCCCCACAAGATCAACATGTCCCCAAAACTCCAAGCTTCCAATCAAGGATTGCACTGGAGGATTCTAGCGACCTTCGAGGAGTTCTGGGATTCCCCCGCGACCTGCGAGGAGCTCTGTGGCAAGGCGTGCCAGAGTGATGAATGAACAGTTCTGTGAAGAAGAATTGGTGATGTTCCAGCTCCTTTCACCAGAGCTCAATGCCAACATCCTAATGTCAGTGTCGTCAAAGACATGGCTTCAGGCCACATGAGAGTTTTGCACGGCGACAAAAAACCCTCAAATGGAACCCTCTGTTCCGTGTATCCTCCCTGCCCACTGACAGGATCCTCCTCATCATAGATCTCTTCTTTGAGCATCTCCTCCAACGGTAAGAAACCAAGACAGGAGTGGATCCAACAGCAAAGCATATATTATGACTATAACTAAGGCTCCAAGAAGAACGGGTTCCAATTGGTAAATATTGCTCGGCCCAAGGGCAAGGCCTACCCGTCCTCGATGACATCCTCTAAGGAACAAAACATCGTCGGCCGGGCGTCTTCGGGGATCGTCGCCTTGGGTATGACAGAAGCAAGAATGAAGTGGGCCATAGGGGTACTCACAGGGGCACCCATGGAGACACTTGCCGTGGTGATGTCTTTCTCTACTAAGTAGCGACAAAACAATTCAATCGTTGGTTGGCACTGCGCACAGCCCTGCAATATATTGGATGAACATGGGCTTATATACATGTTTATATTTATATGCTGAATTAATTTGATATTGCAGGCTGCTCAACTCTTGAATGCATCAAAGCTCTCCAGGCGCCTGCATTCAGTGTATTCAGTGGCAACGACCTTTTCCACCGGTGTGAGGGAGCTCTCGGATGGGGGCCCCAGCGTGAGAGCACAAGGCTTCCAAGCAAATCTCTGGCTTGGACGAGATCATGGCCTTAAGACGCAGTGATGCGCGGCGGAGCGACGGCGAGGTCTGGAGTTGAGCTGTGTTCTCGATAGATTCACACAGATGTTTGCTAAGAGGCTAAGAGATATCAAGTCACATTCAAATGACATGAGAAACTCTAAGGTCCAGCACAGGTTGTTGGAATCTTTGGGTATTCCTGCCCTTTCGGTTCAGATTCAGTGGCTGCCAGCGATCTGGGAGCATGGCTAGGTGACAAGTTCCACTTTGAAACCTCAGCCAAATTGACCCTTTGCCGTGGGCTGTGTGAGGGCAAAAACTCAATTTCCAGGAAAATGGTGATAGAACGGCACGGTGAAAAGTCCGATGAGTTGAAGGTGTTTCAACAAATGGTTTGCTCACAACTGCGGTGACATGCTGCAAAACGCGCGGCTGCTGAAAGTGGCTGAAAGAAAATGGTTTGAGGGGTAGGTAGCATGAAGAACCATGGAAACAAAAAGAGTATATAAATTGGACAGCGTGTTCAACAGTTCCAAATTGTGGCAGGTACACACGGGTGATCAATCCGTGCTTCCCACTCCAAGGCATAGCTTCGTTGCACTGAGTTTGCCGAGGAGTGCTCAGTGCCCCTGCATGCAGAAACCCTTCGAAACAATTAGAAACGAAAGAAAGAAAGACAGAAAGAGCAGCGCTAAGAGGGCAAGAGAGAAAGATAGGTGTAGAAAAATGAAAAGGTGAATACTTAGCCCTTGACTGGGGTAGGGAAACGAACCTCAAGAACCACCTAAAAAGCCTGAAAGAAAGCCCAACAAACGACGAAAAACGCAAGAAGGAAAGCGGGGGGCAGGGAGGGGGTGTATGTCCATGTGTGTGTACGTGTGTGTTTGAATACCTAGCCCTCTAAAATTACTGAATACTTAGACGAAGTGAATTAGGTGCACTAGTTAGGGAGCGGGACTTTAGTCTTAAACCGCCCGGGCAGAGTAGACTAGAAAAGGGACAACAGAGGGAAACGCACCGACACACAAGTGTGTCGAGTACCATTTCCCTATGTTACCCTAATTAGGTAGGGAGTAGAACGCGGTGGGGGGGGCGGGGGTTCGGGAGACCTGCCTCAAGGGGGGGGGGAAAAAGGAAGGGGGAGGAGGGAGGACAAAAACCGTTTTTAAGCCCGGCGGCTGGCAAATTCGTTTTATAGCCCGACGGCTGTATGAGCAGTGAATTCAGGGTAGATAAAGATCGAGATGAAAGAGTGTCAGTGAAAGAGAGGTAATTCAGTGGCTCAATTTCCAGTATGTAAACAGCGCCTCCTTGCGGAGGATCACACCCAGCACCCATGTGGGACGGCGGAGCGGCTCACACTTCGACATTGGCTTTCAGTTAACTCGATTTCCAGGAAAATGGTGATAGAACGGCACGGTGAAAAGTCCGATGAGTTGAAGGTGTTTCAACAAATGGTTTGCTCACAACTGCGGTGACATGCTGCAAAACGCGCGGCTGCTGAAAGTGGCTGAAAGAAAATGGTTTGAGGGGTAGGTAGCATGAAGAACCATGGAAACAAAAAGAGTATATAAATTGGACAGCGTGTTCAACAGTTCCAAATTGTGGCAGGTACACACGGGTGATCAATCCGTGCTTCCCACTCCAAGGCATAGCTTCGTTGCACTGAGTTTGCCGAGGAGTGCTCAGTGCCCCTGCATGCAGAAACCCTTCGAAACAGGGCTTGACACACACACACACACACCAGCTGGGGACATGGACAAGCATTGTGATGCTTTCTGGTAAGAGGTGCATTCTTAGTCAAGTCATGATGGGCGAAAGGCTTGGTTTTAGCTCGTCCATCGCCGCTCCGAAGGCTTGTTTAGCTGGGTCACAAGCTAAAACACTGGTCAATGACCAAAATGTCTCCGCTAATTCCAAAGCGAGGCTCTTGTTGAGAGTGGCCAGTAGGTTCTCATTTGGGCTGAGAACCACAGGTCGCTTCACTGCATGCAACAGATTCCCCTGGCCCAGCGATGCGCAAGATACGGCTTCAGCTTCAGTCAGCCCGCTTCGGCTTCAGTGAGTTGTGCTCCATGGGCCCCTCCCAGTTCTCCGAAGTCGTCTACAAAGACGTGACGGCAGCACTATTCGGTACTTGGACTCAGGACCTCAGAGCGGGCCGAAGCCAAAACGAATCAAGACTCTGGGCAGACTCTCTGGGCAGACTCTGGGTTCCTATCACCGGACAGAACTGTGAAAGTAGAGCACTCCCGACAGCGGGCAATGGTCCAGGCAACAGCTTCCAACCTGTTGAAGTGAGATTGGTGAGGGCAACAGCTTCCAACAAAGTTGGTGTAGGCTTCTTCCCCCATGGCATGCCCTTCTGCAAAGGAAATCCTCTTTTCAAAGCCCCAAAACCTATAAAGCCATCTGACCCTGTATAGAGACCACGCACCCTATGCGCTTCCCTATGCGTTGGCCACCGGTTTTCACCCATGTTTGTCGCTTCCAAGGCACCGTGGGTCCCGTGCGGATCGGCCACCGCGATGCCGATGAGCTTTTTCACCAACACCACACCTCTGGAGGATCGGGTTCCGAGCGATACGCGACGGGAGGTTCCCGTGCTCCAAGGAGCTGAACAAGGTAAAATATAGAGATTATATACGTTAGTGTATGTATATATAAAATATAAATATATATATATATAATATATATATATATGTATGTGGACCTTCTGCAACAGGGCCCAGTCCCGCCTTCTGAGGCGAGTTGGGAGGTTTAGGGTATATCATGGTATATCATATATGTCAATCAGAGGGGAATGCATGTGTACTTCGTTGTGAATCTCCGCGGCTCTGTGACTCTTGGACTTGACCCATCTGAACCTGATGGGCCTGGAGCAACCCTATTGGTCATGCATCAGTAAAAAACACTGCAACACCAAAGGACCCTCATCTCATTGTATTGTAGAGGACCTAAAGGACCCCCACCTTCATCGGAAAACCCTTGGGCTCCACTTCACACTTGGCACCCACACCCATGATATCATCCCGTCGCTCGGGATTTGACGCATCTCTGCGGTAGAGGAACAACCTGCCAGGCGTTGTCACCAACAAACAGACCGAAGCAAACAAGATGGTCCAAGCAACCTGCTTGAACATGACAACAACGTGAGATAACTGAACGTCAGCTTTGTGTGTGCTATTCCTGCATAATCCTACAGACCGTCTGTAACATCAAAGCCAGTGAAACAAGTTCTTTGCTTTAGACATGACTTGTCTATATTCCTTTCGTCAAAGTGTCCGAAAGATCCTTCGGCCCAGATCCAAACATGAGATGGTCCAAGATCATTCTGTGATCACTACAAAATTGACAAGGCGACAACCTGATTCCAACAATTCATGGTAACAATTGCTACCGTCTCCACCTATATCCCACACCCGGGCATAAATAAATATATATATATAGCTTTAGGTTGTTCTTTTGGCGGGAGACGTTCAGGCTCGTCGTTGAAACCCAGCTTCGGGAGGCAGCAAAAGTGGCTATGGATCAAAACAGAGCGACCCCAAAACAAAGCGACCCTAGTTCGCCACCCTCTTGGTGAAGTCTTTAATCCAAACCTCTTGAACCTTCTTTCATAAGAACCTTCTTTTAAGGTCGACATGGGTGATGCTGAACAAACAAACCACTTCGTATACTATACAGCCATACAAAGAATGTCGGCACCTGCATAGAAGTGGAGAACCCCCTTGAACATGCTAATTTCATCTACAGTAATTTACTCTCCCTTGAACAAACATGGAAGTGGAGAAACCCCTGTTTTGCATCCAGAAAATGCAGTTCCAGTGGCCTATGCCATGTTACTTCCACGTTAGTTACAGAGAGTGCACCATTTCTTTTAAAGTGACAACAACTGGCTGCTTTCAACCATGTCTGACTGGTTCCCGTCTGCCTGGAATGGCCCCAGTCCATGATCTCCTTCACACCTGAAGGAGCGACGAAAAGCAGCGGGGTGTGTCAAATCATGTCAATCCAGTACACCCAAAATCTGAGGATGGCAGCCCGTATTGGCATTTTGAAGTTGTAGAGAATGGTAGAATCTATACAATACCACGGTGTTGATAGATTGATCTGGGTGTGGAATGCACATTTAGAGTATGCATTGATATATTGGCGGATAGGGATCAGCTCAAGCAAGCTCGCTCTCTCTCTCTCTCTCTACTTGATCCTCTTTACACTGTGCTGGACCCCCCCGCCCGGTGTGAAATTCGATCCTACATTCTTCTGCATCAGCACCACCCCCGAAGAAGTTTCCAGAATCAATTAGAATCAATCATTTCACGTTCATCCACCTCTTTCTGTTTTGTTTGATGGTGGTTCTAAAGCAGGTCAATGATTCCTGAGATCTTTCCCTCGTGAATTCGACAGCTCCCCACAAAAACACACAAATCAAACAAACAAACTCTGAGCTCACGGACAGTCTTCCGTCAGGAGCTGGTCCTGAGCACATTATGTGCAGCTTTGGCAGTGAATAAACATCGATTTCAGAGAGAAAGGAGAGAAATACAATGAGTTCTTACATGTTCTTACAAGATCTGAATCCTCTGTGATTTGAAAATTGATTTTCTGTCGACTCCGTGCGCTCACCGACTCCGCCGCAACATCCTTCCCGCCACCCTCCGACTCGGTAAAGACAGTCAACAAATCATGCAGCCTTATAACGAAAAGAGAAGTATATACCAGGAGTCACAAAGGTGTGGTATTTGGTCCCTAAGTGAGTGGATAATGGGCACCCCTATCCTCCAATACCGAGTTTTGTGCAGCCTGGGGACCCGCACGTGAGGTACCATCTTGGCATCCTTGAAGGGAGAAGCAATGTCTTGGGCCTGCAGGCGCAGGAACTGCTGATTCGGAATGAAAAGCATTGTCTTTCTTTCTTTGGCTAAGAGGTCGTTTTCCGTCGCGGACTCCAAAGACCGAAGAAATCGACCGAACAAGTCGAGGTCATGGAGAACTCATCTAGTTCTCCAAGCAGCGCTCATGTCGTCATATTGATCCTTTCTCGAGATTGGCCCTATTACACAAAACACACCAACCATGAAATACAATGAAGGCATGAGCAACAATGTCGTGTCATCTGCACAAAACAAGTTTCAACCTCTGGCTGCCCCTGGAAGCAGTATGGTGCTTTGGAAAAGGGGGCGTCAGGGTTTGGAGAACCCTGCATCCGGGTGTGTGCCACTATGGTGGATAAACACCAGCAAAGCGTGAGGCTCCCTAGGCTCAACAAGCCCTGTAGTTGAAGACGGTGAACCCACATGAATGAATCCCGGTGTTTGTAAGGTTGAAAAGTCTGCGACTTGGCCATGCTGACTCATGGTGTCAGTCCTTCTTGTGGTGCATCTCCAAGACACCCTGCAACATATTAGCCTGCCAAATGGAAAGCTCAATCGGTTTTGCACAACAGGCACCCCAATAGACAATCAATATCGGCTATGGCCTAAAGTCCTTGTGCGGGGATGGTCACCGTTTCCTTACCAAGGCTTCCTATTGAAGGTGTTGAGAAACATCGTTGAGAAATGGATAGCACTATGGAGTTATCTCTATTTGGGGGACACAACCTCTGTTTCTTTCCTCCTTGCAATGATCTGACACTGACGCTCGACATAGTTGGTTCCTGCAGGAACAAACATCGAACAACTGCAGATTTTGATGGCACAGAAGCCTTTTGCTTCTATCATGGTTGAAAAAGACACGAGACAAAACGAACAAAACGAGACAAACCGAAGCCAGGGCCGGTCCAAGAGGTGACCCAGTACCGATCGGATCGTTACCTCCAATGAAAGGGCTGTTTGGTATACCTGGCACTGAATGTGAACGTTCAAGATAATGTAGATGATGTTGGATGTTGATCAGTCAATCAACACAACAAGTGTCCAAAGGATCACGTTGTAACTAGTGGCCTATGTTTCAGCACCGGTATTGTAATAAAAGGTCACTAGTGCAAATTAGTACCATGGTATTATCAGGGTACAAATTAGTACCGGTGCAGGTTGTCTACACGGACATGCACCGGTATTGTCCAGTCCACCCTGCTCCTCACCTCATCAATTTCCAGGTTGCTCTCCTGCGAATGGACAGTCCTCGACGGAGCTGGGCTTTGAAAGATTGATGCTGCTACTGTGCAACAATTGAAGAGCTAGTGATATAATGCCTCCAACTCAGAATGGCTCTGGACATGAGACCGATAGCGGCCGGAAGCCGTAAATTAGTAACATCCCGCTATCATCCCGCTATATTACAGTAGTATAATCTGATGGGTGCACGAATACTGCGACGCGTTTTGGCAACGAACACAGCTTCAATGTAGCCTTGGAAATCCCTCCGAAACGGATTTCCATTGAGGATCAGTGCTCAGTCTGATGGGAGTCGGGTGTCTATCAATGCTACGTCTATAGAAGCAAAAGAAGTGACCTGTTTGGTTCGACTGGTGCAAACAACAGGTTTTCATATGAGTGTGCATTAAAGTAGGGAGACCCCCTGGCCGAATGGGTAGACTGGTCAACGATTTAGTACACACCCTAAGCCGGTAGGCTACTGATTGTTGGAGGAAGGACCTAAGGAGTTTGTGGTCACAGCAGGTCTCTATGCCGACTCTTGCTGCTTCAGTCCTGATCAAAGCTTTTATCTGAGCTCTGGAATAGGGATCCTCGTTGTGGCCAAGAACCTGCTTCGAGGTGCGGCTGAGAACCCGCATGAAACTCTGTGAACACCTGCATAAAATCTCTTGTTAATCAATACACATTTGTATAAGTTTGATTCATGTTGTATACATTAGTTGCTTTCGAGTTGACATGTGAAACTTCAATATGAATAAAACCAGCTGTAATCGAATGTGCAAGCAATAGAACTTTACACTTTCACTCCCCTCAGTTATACCTTTCCAACTTCGTTTTCTCGGATGTGACACCGTCAGGTAAATTGCTTGTCTCAGGAGCCCATACAACCTCTCTCCAGTGGAGTTCCCTTCAACTTCCAACCTCTTCTGACCTCAGAAGACCTCAGAAGACCTCTGGCGCTTTGGATTGGGTGAAAGTGGGGGATCCGTCGATTCCCACGGGTTGAAACCTGGCTTAATTGGTTCCAACATGTTCCAAACAATCCACACGAGGCGACCCAGGTCTCCTGGCTCACCCAACTCCCCCTCTCGGAGCCTTGTCAAGCATCAAGCTGATCGGCAGCACAATGGGCACCTAGCTTGCGCAGCCATACCCAACGACCAGGAAGTCACCCTGAGAAGAACTTACAGCAATAAATTGACCCCCCTGGATCCCCCTGGCAAGTTTCAGGTAAGATTGGATGTTTTCACTCTCATCCGTCCTTCAAGTCTGTTGCAGCCCAGAAACCTGAACATTATTGAAAATTCTAGGTCGTCTTTCGAACCCGTCATCCACGAAGGAGACGCGACAAAAGGAGACGTGACCCCTTGAGCTCAGCGGCAAAAAGCCGCTTCGCGAAGCCGACCAGCCTGGGCGAAGCTGGCAGGTTTCCACAGCACGAAGTGGTGGGAGAGCTTGCCCGACCAGTGGCTTGGGGGGACTGCGTCCTCCTCCAATCATTGGCGAGCCACACGTAGAGTTGGACTTCAGGATTTCAGGATGACATAGTCAGCCAAAGGGGAATCTCATCCATCAACGAGATCGCTAGACCACCCAGTCAGCCAAAGGAGACCCCATTCTGAGGCAAAGTCTTTACATGGTTTTCACGGAGTCAAAGTCATATGGATAGTCCCAATGAAACAAACACCAGATCGTTGCACCACTTAGCTATACTCAAATGTCACATCATGGACGTGGACAAACCAGACATAACAAAACAATGTTGGACATTGGACATGGACAATGTTGCTAAAACGTTGGTAGGGTAGCAATGTGAATGGATTCACCAACAATTACAAAAGACCGATCCTTTGTGTTTTTGACCATGATTGGAATGTACCAGCTTGTTAGGCTGACAAGTGTCAGGCTCGTGTTAGGCTCGTGCCTGTCCGTCCAATTTCAGGATCCAAGGACATAGAATGAGAGTGTCCAGAAAAGTACCAAACAAATAAATGGATGAAAATTGGTATCTCAACACAAGACCCTCAAGCAAAGTCTTTGCGGATAGCTTCGACTTGGACTCAGCTGGTTTCTTTACTTTTATATATTATCTTCAAACGCCTCTTCCAACAAAGGGCTGGTTTGCACATTCTTTGGCTTGGTTTCGCAGCCAAGCCAAAATCAACCGCCCCACCTGTATTTCTGTATCAATCCTGCTAATCCCAGCAGGGCGCCAGCGGGACATGTCGTATGCGCCCGAGGAACGGAGACAATGCTGCGGCCAAGGACAGCTGCCGCGGCCTTGGTGACATCGAACGTCTCTTCGGCTCGGCCGGGGAACCGCCCTGGATCGCAGAACAAAAGCCTGCTCTGTATAAGATGCCTTGACCTTCAGTCTGTGGAGATATGTGGAAATCTTTCAGTTTTGAGGTCTTTAGTATTTGTTTCACAGCATGTGGGGCCAATGTAAAAGCAAACCAGCCGCTTCCCGAGAAAAACCGATGACAGTTTCCGCGTAGAAAAGCTCTATGTGCCAATCCTACTTTTCTTTGGGCCGGCTCAAGCCCAAGCTGGATCCTGGCACACGTAGCAGACTTGGCTAAGTTTACTCAGCAGACTTAGCTGAGTAAGTAAATATACAGCTAAGGACACTGAGCAAGGGCTTGCGCTAAGTGGCAAATCCAACTCACCTTTATCCTACTTGATCGTATGTGTATTATCAATAGTTCTTCTCCTGCCATTCTTCGGGGCCCTTGTAGTCTTCTCCTGCCATTCTTCGGGGCCCTTGTAGAATTTGGTGAATCAAACAACTCGAGCAAAAAGAAGTGTGCCAAGAACGTTACCCTTGGTTTTGAATCTCTCTTGTGGATGTCAGCTTGAGTCATTGTGGATTTTTGCAAAAAAAATCCCACGCAACTGCCATCTGGGCCAACTTGGCCCAGTGAAGACTGCGGAAGGGATGATCTCCCCGAAGAAAAGCACCACAGTGACCTCGTCGACGGGGTGTGAAAAGCACCATGAAGGGACCGTTCCCAGAATTTGCGGGTCAAAACGTTTCACACACGACCCCCCCTACGAAGTATGCCTGATTGGGACCCTCAGCAGTGTCTTTGGGCCATATCAGTACATGACGCTGAGTTGTGTTGCAACATGATGCAAGTTATGGTTTCGTCATGAGACGTGGCTCTTCTCCGTAGCTTCGAGAAACATCGCATGAGACTGGCAGCCAGAGATGGCCAGTTGGAAGCAGCTGGCCACCAAATTCGCCAAAAGAGACAGACGCAACTCAGCGACCCGCCGAGAGTAAGCAGGCCATCCAGGATGGAACCAACCTGCCGCAACTGCCGCAACGGATAGAATGAAGACTTGGACATGGATGGACATGGTATGCATGGAAATAGAGGACCCCCGGTTTTGAGCAGGTCTTTATCGATTGTTTCCTTTGCCCGGGATTTTGAACCAGTCTGGCTAAAGGATCTTTCAGTACAAATGGAAATGTCAGGTCTTGCAAGGCTTGAAGCCTTAAAGCGCTGGGAGATAGCAAATAAATATATACTGTACAAAAATGTATATAATTATATGGTGGTTGATCAATATTCTTTCATCCTGGAATGGCCATTCTTTGCGGAAAAAAATATATTTCGCGGATCTTTCGCGGCCTCATCGCGAAGCATGGTCCTACAACCATGTCTAGCTAACATGAGCCGGAACATGTCATAGTATCACAAGATAGGGACAGACATCTTGCAGCATGACCCCAGTAGAAGGTTGAACGCTTCCACAGCTACTCAGGGTCACTTGCAGCATCTGTGCAACAATTGTGCCAAATAGAGTCAACCCAATCCTTGTGCCAGCTACCAACACAGGGTGATGCGGCTTGGGGAATGTTGGGGGGCCTCAAGCTGGGAACCCGAAGCTTTCGCGGATCTTTCGCGAAATTTCACTGGTGCTTTCCCCGGGAAGCCGTAACATTTGCAAACATCTGCACAGCCCGTCAGAGCAGCTGCAGGTCGTTGCCTCACTGTCAGAGCTGTGCCTACTCAGGTTTGCTAGTCTGCTAGTCTGTGACAGTGGGGACAGGAATCGGAGAATCCTTTACGCACTGCCAGGCTGGGCACGGAAATGTTGAGGCTTCAGTTCGTTAGTCTGTGACATATGGGGACACTTCCGCCCACCGGCTCTGCCAGAGGATTGCCTTGTATTTCTATTCTTTGTCAGTCCGGTAGAAAGGAACACATATGAAAGCGATGACCTTCGATAAATCTTTCGCGGAAAAAACATATACTTTCGCGAACCTCATCGCGAATCTTTCGCGGATGGTTCTAACAACATCTGAAAGGCTGTTTTATATAAAGCTCCTTACACGGGGTTTTCGATCAACTCCCATATATAAACAAATCAGTCCTACCTGGAAGCTACTGTACTGCAGCCAGTCTGCATGCAGCGTAGGAGATAGTAGGATTTAACATGCTTGACCAAAAATTGGCCAAGCCGGTGGCTTCCGCCAGCTGGAAAGTGATGAAGCCACACTTTGAAGAGTTCTGGGCCAAATCTGTCTGTCCACATCCATCCATCACTCGTCCTCACACCACGACGAGCATCGCCTACCGATCTGATTCATTCTGCGCGAACGAAAGTTCCTTTCCGCGCCTGTTTAAGAAGAGAGGCAAGGCTTCGTTGGCCGTGGCATTGAGCAAAAGGAGGGTCACAAGCCTTGGAAGGAGCATGAAGGAGCGGAAATCAGCCATTCCAAGAAAACCTGCACAAATCAGCTCTTGCTACTGTTTGGTCAAGTTCGGGAATACGTGGGGCGACCATGAGAATGTCTCGACTGACAAGACCAAGGATAATGCTCCCACTTTAATTGGCACGCGCCCAAACCAGCAAATATAGGGCGATATAGATCTGTCCGTCTGGAATTTATTTAAAAACATACATATTGTGGTGTCTGGTTACTTCATGTTTGAGATCGTCTGAGCACAAATGCGCCGGTATTGCTTGTCAGGCTGAATAACTTCTCCAGAACTGTGGGTTGTTCTTTACCTTTTTGGTCAAACCGTTTGTATGACCTGGGTCCAGGGTTCAAGCACACTGCTCATGGGCGCCCAGGCAAGTAGTGCTCATTGGTGGGGTCAACGGCGTGAGCCTCACTTTGCTTCAGAAAGGCAAGGCCAACGAAGGATCGAACAGCCTTGTTTGACCGAAGAACTTGCCCCTATTGGAGCAATCCATTTACGGAATATTTGACCGACCTATATGTTTGCGGTTTTTTCAGAATGTTTCAGAGTTCAATGCTAATAAGTAGATTGTCTTGGTCTGAATGGCGTGAGAACCCCAGTCAAGCGGGAATCTATTCAGTTTAACTAGGCAACTGAGTCATTAAGGGTCAACATCAGTGACAAAGCAAATCCGAACCATTCAAACATACGCACCAAAATTATGCTGACATCTGTGGGAGACAACTGCTCAGGTCAGGGTCACCAAAATATGTTTTTCAAAGTGTTCATCCTGTCGTATCCGTGGCTGACCTTGAATATGCTTCTATGTATGGTGCTACAAGTCGCCATCGTTGCTTCACTTGAGTGCTTGTCATGATCCTCTTGAGCTGGACAGCTTCCCGCAATGTGCATCAATGAATCAAAACCTAAAACAATCTGTACAGTAGTACCCCAAATGCTGCCAAGTGACCCAGGCCAAATGACGCACTCCGACAAAGAAGGGTGCTGGTTGGTTTGCGAGACAGTTCAAACATCTATGTTTACAACATGCAGTGTGATTCTCACTGCAAGACTTGAATGACACCCTTGCATTCATCATTTAACACCACTAATGTAGAGTGTTGATCAATATCACCCCGTACGAGAATGGTTTTACATCTCCACGTGGGGGGTTTACATTAATAACCAACAGTCTCCATTGAAAAGTCAACATTATCAGCTTCTAAGGAGTCTCTCCATCTTCCCCCAACAGCCCTGACTCCTCTTTTTACTGACCAAAAGAAACACATTCCAGCTGCCCCTACTGCTGAGGACCCAAACCCAGCTGCCTTTATTGGTCTGCATAAAGGTCCTCAGTGTCTGCGTGCGTGCGCACGCAAATACTCGAAGGATCTGCCAAAGTCTTCATGTCCCGGTCACCAAAACCTCTTCACAACATCTGTGGCTCAAGAAAAGATCCAGAACCTGCACCACCTGGCCACCCGATGGTCATCTTGGTCCACCTCCTCTTACGACTTGGCACATGGTGGGACTCCATGGCACTTGAAGCCTGGAAGCCAACGAGGTGCCGTCACATCGTCACCGCCGAGGAATGCGCGGTGCTGCGACGGTCATAGGGACCGCCACGGTCATTGGGCCACCACTGTCATTGGGGGCATGATGGTCTTTTTGGAAGACAGCTAGGCCTGCGTTCCGTCCATCTCTGTCCAGCAAAGAGCACTTTAGCATGCTTTGACATGCTCTGCGACTCTGGTGGAAGCATCGTTCGGCTTCTGAAGGCTGGGTTTTGTATGGTTTTGTATAGGGGAGATATGCCGTCCATTCTTGAGCTTATCCCTTTCTGGCCACGTGATCAAGGTCGAGCAATTACCCAACTACCTTCACTTTGACTTCGCCAAGCGTCCCAGATATCAGTGGCAAAATGCGCTTTGCACAAGACTGGTCGTGCTCCTCGGCGCGACTGAAATTCCCTTTAGCTTCAAAGGGTTCTTCAAGAAAGGCACCTCTGTAGAGATTGCGGGTATGTTGACTTCAAATTCAACATACAGGCCAACATCTCTCACTTGAGGCATTGTCGGTTGCACATGCCAAAGTACCCATCAGCAGTTAGTCAATCTTCTGCAGCTCCATTTTAAGAACTGGTGATGCAAAATCCTTCAAAACCACGCTCTTGCAAAGAATTCGGAGCCCCTGCCAGCTTTGTTTGCGCGGCCAGCCGACTGCGCAATGCAAAAACACGGCGGAGTCCAACGTGGGTGGTGTTGTTCGGAGTGAGTGGAAGTGGTGCAGCCGACCACTTTACACAGTTTGGTGGTTGATGATTCTTTACATCTCTTGCGGTTGAGACCAGGCAACCAGAGGCATACAAATGCCCACTTTACAGAACAGCTTCTTTGACTGTCCTAATCTCACACCCTTGAACGTCAACTGCGTCCGTTCCTCTCGTTCAAAACACGGATGGGGCATTGATTCGGGCCAGTAGGGATTCTTTGTCCCCGGCATGTTCCTACACATTCGGCTGCCTCCACATCGCCTCACAAAAAAAACAACGAACTCATTATAGAAGTCATCAAGTCCTTCGCATCCTCTACATTCTCACATCTAACTCATCAATGTTTCTTTGGCCAAACAAAAGAGGGCCGCGGACCCGTCCGGTAGGGAAGGCCACGCGTTTTTGGTGCTGGCCTTCGTGGTGTGGCGTTGGGCCTTGGCGGAAGCGGATTGGTCCACCGGAGGCACTGCACCGGCGCTTGCACGGTTTGCCAAGAATGCTTCTGGCACGAGGTTTTCTTTGAAATCTTTGTAGAGCATAAGCCAAAGGAATCAAATGTATTATATGTAATTATAGTCTTAGGAATATATAATATATATATATGGTGGTTGATCTAAATTCCTTTCATCTGGAAAGTGCCTCTTCGCGGAAAAAAAATTACTTTCGCGAACCCCATGTTTAACTTTCGCGAACTTTCGCGAAGTATGATCTTACATATTCAGAAGAAGTTCGGGTACATGGGTATATATAGTAGTTAAAGGAAGACTCTGATTTCCTTCTGAGCTGGTGGTCTGAAAAGATCACAGTAAGCAAACAAATAAGGGTCCCTTTACCTACAAATAACATACATGGTTACATGAACTTTCGCGAAAAAAAAAGATTACTTTCGCGAACCCTGTGTTTAACTTGCGCGATCTTTCGCCCGGTTGGTACTTAGTAACCGAAATGGCTGTTCCATATGAAACTCCTTTCATGGACCTTTAGATCGATGCCCATATAATATTCTTATGATGTACATTTAAGTCAAAGGAATTATAAAAATATCTTTTTTAAGGTTCACTGGCCCTGTATAATAACGATGTTACATTTCGGCATTTAGATTGGTCTTGAAAGGCTCCAGTGCATCTCTACTGCAAACCGGCTCTGAGCGCACAGCTCGATTTCATCAACGAGGTGATTGCAAAGAACCTGGCCATGTAGCCAATTGCAGGACCGATCCAAACATCATGAAAAACATGCAAAAACCTATGTCTTTCTTGACCTTCCCTCCTCTTTGAGCAACCGCAACTCTTCTTGTAGCATATTCTTGTAGGTTAAGAGTGAAGGAGATGACTCCTTTCCTGGGATTCTACCCATCCCATCCCGCCACCGGTGTTGCCGAATCAAGTGGTGGAGTCCCGAGCCTCGGTAGCCATGAGGTGTTTAATGGTATTTACATCTCTGGGGTACTCCATCGAACATTCGCGAGATGATTTTGAACACGTTTGGGATCAACATGGAGCAGTGTCTTCGACAGCGTGATCATGTGTCGATCCATAACATGAAACACGATCAGCAGCATGTGAACCTAGAAATCATCCTTGAAATCTCATCATTCTCATCGTCAAGAGATCGAATCTGGCCCCGCGTGCCGCACTGCGTGCCTTCAACTCAAACTCCTCCATGGAGGTCAAACCCAACCTGACAAAGGTCGATCCACAATCGTGCTTTGGGCAAAAACAACGCGCACTCGAGGAATCGAGGACACCCCTGATGGGCAAAACAAAGGAACAAGTATAGCACAGATTCTCCTATCAGTATAGCTATCAGTAGGTAGGAGTATCATAGCCAGGCTGCCCACTGAAATTTCACCGGGCCCAAGTGGAAAACCCGGTGTGGCCTTAAGCTCCCAAGATCTCCTTGACCAAGATGAATATTCATTCATTTGGGTTACAGTATGTCCTGGCATCCCTCTTGGACCTGAAGCCTTCGCGGGGTTTTAGTCCAACCGATTATACCCCCCCCCAGAACTCTTGGCTCAAATCCCTCTATAAACCCATCACATGGGATTCCAGCCAAGAGCAATCTAATCATCCTGCACACAAACAGGAACTTCATTCGTGACACGCAAGCAATGCCACCTAGGAACATTGATCAGTGGATCGAAACACGAAACCGTCCAACTTCTACGAGACATCGCCCAAGCCCTATTGAGAACGCCTTGGAGCTCACCTTGGGTCAGAACTTTTGCAATGAGGTCAGACTTTGACACGTCCACACATACTGTACCCTCACGTGGCCAAGCGGCGTAAGACCCGCTGCTAAAGCAGCACATAAAATGCAGCCTAGGAGAAGACAAAACAAGAAATGCACACATGCACTAGTCTTCTTGGGTATGTAGCAACACGTGCTTGAAGCCTGGAAAGCATCATGCATATAGTGTATGGGTAAATGATTTCTTGCTGACAAGTTGTTTCTCCAATCATATATGTAAGGCAAGTGACGTGGCATGTGACACATTCACCCTTCGGCACCTGATTGACTCAAACAAACACACTCTCAAGTCATGAAATGTCTTCATAAATACTGACATCAATTCCACACCATGATACCATGCAGTTCTTTCTACCTCTTGCAGGGGACCGTGCTTACGCACGCCACACGTGAGCATGTTCACCAATCCAACTGTCCCCCCACAGGGGAGCAGGCCGAAGGCACAGCCACACATCAGGAACCACACCTCCGTGAACGCCTAGGACCGACCGACAGACACCGAGGGTCCGAGAAGACGGGGCACGGTTCCCTGAAGCGTCGTTGCTTCTTCTCTGGGCGGTGGTCTGACGGCTGGAAGAAACTCAAGTTCAACATGCTGATTTCTGGTAAGTTGAAACATGTAGATGTAGTCTACCGATCTGGATATAGTCTACTGGTGGGTGACTTGTAAACAGTGTAAGCCATACACAGCAAAAAAACGGTCAAGTGGGTTATACAGAACATTTCCAACAAGGATTGGAGAAATAGATAAATAACTATATATGAATATATTCCAAACCAGCACTAAGAATGTCGGGTGCTCAGTTGTGAGCCTTCGATAACAACTCACAAAATCCGAAGAAAGTCTTCACGTCGTCTGGAAGAAAAAAAGAGCAACAAGTCCCAAACCGATATGTGTGCAATAATATATATTAGATACTTACATTGACCTCAGGTCAACCACCCCCATCTAGGTCGTCACACTGGAGTCTTACATTTCGTCTCGGTCCCGTTCTCGTCCTCCCGAGTCCTCGCACCGGGGGCTTGTCGCTGTGGTGCATCGGGACAAAGAGTTGCCTCGGCCGACCGCGGCTCGACCGCTGTCCGTCCCCCGCAACCGGCGCAGCGGTCCATCTGCGGTCCACGGACAGTTCAGTGGTTCATCGCTTGGGGTTTGGTGTCCCAGGTACCGAGTGGATGAGTGGATGATGATCAGACCTTTCCCCAAAATAATAGCATGATCTCTTTCCGACTGTTACTAGCAAGGGGTTGGGGAACTCCCTATAGCTCCTTGGCTGCCTGCTCAACGGGGAATATGGATACTTCCGGCTGCCTAGCTCCCTGCTGAGCACAAGCTAGGTTACTGGTATTCACTGGTTATACCTAAATGGAAATAACATGCAGCCCTCATCACAGCCGTGACGATCAGGCCGTTGTGTCCGGCTGTCGAAACCTTGCACGCTTCACCATGACAGGAAGAGCAGCGTCCAAACTCTGCAAATTCACACTGTCACATTGTCGGTGGGAAGGACTCAAGAGAGCAATCTGTTTCTGCAACTCAAGACAGCTTTCTTGGAACATGTCAAGATAAAGGAGAAAAGGGATGTGAAAACCTCGCAGGACCTACCCCCTAGCAAGAAGCAAACACATGTACCTGCTGAGGACCTAGAAAGAATTTATCTAGGATGTACTGTAATTACTGGCCTTTCCAAATTCAGTCTCATCTTGCTGAGCTTGGCACCCGCTGCAGTTCAAGTGAAGATGTGCAGGTGACTCCTGATGTGATTTGGTCAAGTCCGGTGACTTGCTGTAAAATTGAGGTTTGCGCGTGCGTGGGAGACCTGACTAGATTAGATTGCCTCGAAAACCGGTGTCTGCTGCACCAATTAATAGGCAAACCCTGCTTGAACATTGAAAGAACGTCCCATGACCAAGATGACAAATGGTCAAATGGTATCAAATGCTTGGTCAAGAGGATCTTTTTTCCTTGATTTCCCCACGAACTGAATGGATGTGAGTCAACAAAAACACACCCAAACCATGTTTGTTAGATTGACAATCCCAGTCAGTTCTGTTGCTCTGCAATGGCAAACATTGGTCAGCCAGCCATCGCCGGATTGGGGCCCGTCAGCCAGCCGCGCCCCATTTCAGAGACATCGCACCTGTGCCACCGTACAGTTCCATGTTTCGGCAGCCACACCTACAGCTCCATGTGGCGACTTTGAGGACCCGATGCTGAAGAGGAGTGTTTACGGTCATGATCACAAACAACGCGGAAAACATTGCTAAAGGCTAGAGAGATCATTACAGTAAGTGTGTGTGTGTCTCCAGGAATCCAAAGACAGGGAGCGCAGGAGGCCCGTAGAACTGTGCCCAACAAAGCTCTCTCTACGGATCTTTATGGTGTCCTCATCCTCAGGATATCCAGCTTGATCAGATCCATAACCGTAACCAGCTGCAAGGTGACACTGCTTGGTCGGCAGTTGCGCGGTTTCCAATGCTAGCAAGTCCACCAAACACGGACTCATACAATGCTGTCGTGTGGTTCAATCTTGACTTTGCACATGCATCTCTGCATGCCTTACAAACACCACAGACTATGGCAAACGAGATACCACACATCAAAAACATTCAAAACTATTGCGATCATTGCCATCATCAGCAATGAGACCAAAGAATTTTGTAGGCGGGATGTAGACCCTGATAGTTTGTCAAATCCTGTCGACTACTTGCAGTACATCACTTACTCCGTTGTCGCATGTCTTTCTATTATGATATCCCTACCTGAAGTGCGTGTTGTACCAGAACCAGCTGAGCATGGAATCAATTGGAGGCAAGTGAATCATCTCGCCTCACAGTGGATTCAAAGAAAATCTGCTCATATCTTGCCCAGAACAAAAACACTGGTAAACCCAAATTTCATTCTTTGATAAGCTAATGTTGCATACCACCCATGAGGCAGGCAAGTACGGAGCTCAAAGCTCAAACTCGGACCATCGGCAACGAGAAATGGCACCTACTGCGCTCGTCAGCAGCAGAACGGCATGCTTCTTCATAGGGCGACAAAGGTCGGCCAGAGGTCTCTCCGGTGGATCTCAGGTGTTAACAAATCTGCAAACATTGAAAGCCTGGAGAGAGGTCGAAACTATGTGGTTACGTAGTGTTTCCATTGGGGACTTGGTCGGCGCAGACTCAACATGACCGGTTTCCAGTCCTGGCTCATTGCTCGTATATGCTCGTATCTTGAGCAACAAACGTACTTCCCTCATATATATGCTCCAATAATTCACAAAATGTTTGTCTAAATCATAGCATCCAAAACATGAAGCTGGTGACTGATGTGACTGGCTCACATTCCCGTCTCACTCTTTAGACACATTGGTTGCTGAGATGGGCTGCCAAAGGAATCAAGCAATGGACGATGAGATGGAAGGCCTAGACGAATACATGCAAACTCATGCTTTCTCCAACAATTTATGCCTAAACAACGTCTTGCTTGAATGATTGCTCGCCATGCTGACAACTCAATCCAAGAAGAGAGCGCCCGTGCTTTTTAGTTCTCCTTTCTCAGGCACAATCCCTTTTGGCAAGTCAAAGTCTCTGTCACTTGGCCGTGGGTCAAAACCCTATACGCTGTGGTGAATAGTGAAGAGTTAAATTAAATACTATGAACAACTATAGCCTATAGCGTGTAAAACATGGTTTCCCTGTTGGCTTTGACCCAAATTCCCTCTTCTCTCAAGCTAAGCTCACTTCTTCTTGGCACACCCCGTGATGGCTCGTTGCCCTTCTGGGCATGCTGACAATCACGGTCCTGAACGCCAGGCCGCCGCGATGACAAGACAATGGCCTGTTGAACATGTTCAAAAGGGTCCCCCAAGAGTCAGTCCCCAAATAGATTTTAAAATTTTAAAATCACTATTACTTTCTATCTATTTGGGGGTCGTATATAACACTGGCAGTTTGATTTGTTTCCTGACTGAATCTTCGACAACACACATCTGTTTGACCCCCCGTTGGGAAGGGTCACCAAATGGTCCAACGACTTTAAGATGTAGACTCTTGATCAATAAACCCCCCATTTGGATTGTAAGATATCTTCACGTTTTCGGTTAATTAAGAGTCTAGTGACTAGTGTCTCCTTTTTGTCTTCAATCCATGATCTGCGCCTTCAATCCAAGGCCGGGTCACTCTGCCTGGTCGAAGTACCTGGCGATTTTGCTTACGAAGCCATGTGAAGCCCGTCATTTCATCCGTCGTTCGGGTGGTCGGCCTCGTTTGAGGGCCAGGAAATGGAGTTGTCAAGCATGTCATATGTCGAAAAAGCTCTACCGGTTTCCATGGGCTGAAAAGCTGCTTGCACCAACGAACTCCGCCGCGCGGCCGCGGAGGCGTCTCGGCGTCTCGGCGTCTCTCCGACCGGAACTCCGGGTTGTTCCCTGCCCTCCAACTGGGTTGTTCGGTGGAGTGGACTTGTGGTTCTTGGGGAGAAAGCCATCGTTGTTTCTCCCCAATTCCAAGAATTCCTTTTGGGATCTTTTGGGCACATGCCGGGAACCTCTAGGTGAAACCCAGAACAGGAGCTCGTCGTTGAGCACACACGAGACAGTCATCGAATTCGATGTCTCCAGCAAAGCGTTTCCCTGTTTGACCCATCCAAAACAATCCAAGGCATGATGGGAATCCATCTCTGAAGAACCTCTCTTCTCTCTCAATCATTCAAAATTAGCAACAACTGTGTCTCTCCACCCTTCTTTTCCTGAGTATCCGGACCACTTAAAGATCTCTCTGTGGTCGGTACCGGGCAACGTAGCCTGCACGTAGATGAGTGATTGGGCCAGCAAATCTCAGATTTGCCAAAAGTCAAGGGCATCCCCAGTGGGTACAAATGCCTGAAATTTTCTTAGGCGGTGTTGGGATGTATTGGAAGTTGATTCGCACTCAAGGGAATCGAGACACCTTGGCGCCTACTCTCCGGCACAACCACACTCCCACAGGCTGCGTTCGACAGGACACTCCTTTCAACAGGTCCTCACAAAATGAGGGATGTAGACTACCAAGATTGACCATCCTTCAATTGATGTGGCAGCGCCATAGATGAGGCCGTTCTTGAATCAGCATCTAATCTACTCAAACACGGCATACTGTCGGTGCTCTACAAAACGCCGCGCCCGCCTCCACGACATAAAAACGACCCTCCACATCTTTTCGCAGTATTTGAAAAGTTCCACATTCCTGTGCCGAAGCAGCAAAATGCGACAAGGATCTGGCATGGCAAATCCAATCACCTAACGACCTTCGTATCCAGCTAAACAATGCTAAACATAGACGAGCATGCGACAAGAAACCTACATCAACAATTTCACCTGTCTGTCAACCCAAATTCTGTTGGATGACCCATGAGGAACATGATGAACCTCCTTTCCAAGCCCTCTCTAAAGTCTGTAAGGTGAGTCGGTGAGTACGTTGGTTCAGACCGGAGGGTCCCCGGTGGGTCCCCGGTGGGTCCCCGGTGGGTCCCACCGTCCTTGCCACGTTGGCTGAGCTTCAAGAGTTCCTCAGCCTGTTTTCGCATTGCCTCAGAGACGTCTGGGTCACACGTCTGGGGTTTTCGAACGTCTGATGCCGAAGGAAAGACCCAAACGACGATGTTTTTTCGCCCACAGGCGCGGATGAACTTCTTGGACGAGTGAACGCTTCGTGAACGCTGGAACGGCTGCGAATGTTCCGAAGAGAAGCTTTCGGTCTAATGTTCGAAGGCCTTACTTCCGCTTTAACAAGGACGTCTGCGTCCTCCATAAGCTCAAGACCCGTGCCGAAAAGCCAGAGGCCAGAATAGTGAATATGACCCCTCCCTTCTAACCTATGGTGTCTCGACCCATGAATTCTTAAATGCTTGCTTGGCTCTGTATAATTATAGTAATTCTTATGATATCTTATGATACATGATTAATAATCAATATTAGAAAACTCATCTTACACCAATGGACAGCGGAAGCACCATAGACTTTTGAACAAGCACCATGCCGGCCGATGACCCATGCTGCCGCATGCTGCACCTCAATCTGGGCTTTCATCTCTTCACAGCTATCGCAAGTCCTGAACAAAGCCAACACCACTAGGGCCATCTCCACCACTCATAGGGGGACTCAGCGACAAAGGGACATTGGAGTACTCTTCATGCCCGGGCTTTCAGCCAAACTTCCATACATGTCTTTCGGCCAAATCCAACAATTGAGGAGGTTCCGGATCTGCCAAAAGTCACATCATGTTTCGTAGGATTGCCCCTCAGTCCCTTCTCCCCCGCTGGGCGAATTGGTTGAAGCATACAGCACCAGCACGCGGCATTCCTTCCCATCTGGGTCAAGGCACAGCAAATCAGGATCTTTTTGCTGGGCGTTTGGGATCGTTGGGGATCCAAGTTGAGAACCTTTTTTTTTCGACCTCGAATGAATGCCAGGGAAGGGTGGTGAACCCAGAGGTTTTGTGCATTGTTTTGTGCAACATGACTGGATGGATCATGTGATGGAAACCTCACCCCTGTACAGACTAATAGCTGCGTCCTGGTTGGCTTGATGGCTTCCCATGTGATCACGTTCGAACGTCCGTCCGTTTGAAACAAAAAAACACCTAAAACCACTTCACCTGATCGGTCAGTGTGGCAACTCAAAGCAGCTCCCACCTGGACGATGGAGCAGTTTCTTCCTGAAGGGCCTCAATTCTGAAGCCATGTGACCCCCTCAGTGGCCACTGACCCTCTCAGTTATTCCTTTTGAGTGGGATGTCCCCAATCCAAGGTTTTGGTCACGTTTCCACTCTTCACCTCCAAGAGTGGACCTAACTCCCAAAGCGTCCCGTTGTTCTTGTGTTCTGTTTTTTGTGCTTTTGCATCCTTTCATTCTTGCCATCCAAAAGATGAACTCCGGAAGTCGGTGAACTCACAAACCCATACACAGGTGTACAGACTGAGTGGTACAGATGGCCGACTAGGCAAAGTAGAACAAATATGAGCATACTACCTGTCAAGGCATGTTTGTACAACATACTGTACATTCCAAAGTTCAAAAGTCTATCTACACCAAAATTAGTTTGTACCTGACCTTGTAGCACAAACTGATTGTTTTTCATTGGTCAGCCTCCCACTGCCTTCTTTCAAGGTGTGGTAAGTAAAAGACATACTTGAAGTTTGAACCTAAGGTAGTCAATACTTAGTCCTGCGTCCCCGAGGTTGCATCCCATTCTTAAGTGCACAAAGGTTAAACCTGGAGGTCTTCGAAAAGAGCAGCTGTTCACATCCACTGCATATTTTCAAAAACAGACACGTCCAGCATATCAAAGCCACCGCGTTCCTTCAGTGTCAAAACGTGGCAGTTCAGGCGGCCCTTTGTCAGTTCAGGCGGCCCAGCAGGCTCCACCCAGCCGGATGTGAGATTCCGCCACGACAGCCCGCCGCTGAACAAGTTCAGGGGGCAGGCCGTGATTGTATGCCGTTACGGCTGTGTCGTAACGGCTGGCTCTTCGGGTGTATCATACCTCTTCGTCAGGAGGTAGGTGCGCGTTGCCACCATATGCGCAAGGACGGTCTCGTTGTAGTCATGGTGTGGGGGATTCTGCTGATGCATACCAAACCGTGGCCAACCGAGTCTGGCCTGTAGTCGGTCGGCAGGAGTTGGGATGGGTGGTGGGTTTCCTGTGCAGTGCCAGCAAGGTTGCGTTGCCCACTTCGGGGCAGTCGTAGCATCGCTTAGCGATGTCTGTGGGTGGGCCTTGGGTGGTCATTATAGCATGGTGTGCTTTGTCGATAACCCCACCGGTCAGGATGCTGAAGCGGTGGGTGCTGGGTAGCGCAGCTTTGCGCGCGGCTTGCATGCGCTGTTCGTCGTAGGGTGATGGTTGTGCTTCAGTGGCATCGACTCGAGTGGAAGTGGCCCATGCTTGTTATTGTGTAGCCCGCCATGCCACGCGGAGCTTGTGTGAATGCCGTGCGGGTGGGTCTGGTGCAGTGTCTGGAGTGGTGGCCTGAGGTTGTGGGCTGTGTGGTGGACCACGTATGGTGAGGTGTGCGAGGTCGTGTTGCCAAGTGGAAGCCGTGCTGGTGT